TCATTACATTAATGGTGAGAATGTAGTGATGAATATTAAATTAGTCAAAATTGATTATAAAGTTTGTTGCTATCCATGGATTAATCAAATTAGTTTCTTCGAGAGCTTTTAAAAAACATAACAGTATTTTAAAATATGTTGTAAATAAAACACAAGTAGAGTAAATTAATAACTATTTTATCTTTTTATATGAAATTTTTTACTGCAAAATCTTAATTCTAATTTACAGAGTTTTTTCTCCTAGTTTTAAATATTTTTTGCGGAATAATCATATTGATAGTAAAAAATTTCAATTTCAAAACATGAGTTATGAATTTTATTTTTTTTAAAAGTTGAACAAAAAATTCGATTAAACTAAAATCAATCGGATTATGATTGATCAGAAATTATTTAATTTGGTGTTTTGAGAACCATTTCTTAAGATGTATGTGATATGAATTAATGATTTTGCTAAAATTTTTTGGTATTCTAAAAAACTTGAATTCATGTAAATGAGTTCTATTTTTTAATTTGATTGACTATTAAATCCAGATTTTTGAGATTTTATATTCTATAACTTTTTATTTCAAAAAGTACACATATTTTTTTAAAGTACTCTTTTGAATTTTATAAAAATGTCATATCAAATCTTGGCTTTTTTTTTACTTTTTGTTTCATTTTAATCTTAGATTTGCATGTCTTAAAATACTTCATGTTTAAAGATAATAAATTTGAACTATGGATATATCTTTGTGTGGAAAGCTTTCGTTAATCATATGAATTTCATATTTAAAGTGGTGGAATTTTTTGGTTTTTGATTGATATGCTTGAAAATTTCAATCATATTTCTGAAACATGTATTTTTAATTCAAAATTGATCATGTTATTTTTTTTAATAAAAATACAAAAATTCGCTTAAATTAGACTTATCGATATCATGATTGATTTATTGGTTAAAATGATTTTTTATTTGATAATCTGACTGATTCAAATTTTTTTAAAAAACTAATAAATTCATAGCATCATATTTTTCTTAAAATTGTAGGTATTTGGATGCTCAACATATCTCTTGATTATTTACAGAAAAAAATATTTTGTATTACTATTTCATTATATATCTCGGAATAATATTGTATTTTTGAATTTGTTGTCATAAGTTCAAGTGAACTACAACACTATGATATAAAATGACATATATAAATTATTCACGTGTCCTGAAATCAGAAATAAAAGGCATAATTTCTATCAGATTGAACATCGAGTGAAAATTCGTTTTGGTTTATAATTTTGAATATTTGAAATCATGGCAAGCTTGTGACACAACTAATGACAAGATTATGCCATCACCGAAACTAGAAATTCCACAATCAAATGTGTTGCGTTTCCTGGTTTGAGCTTATCGATGAATCAACCCGTTAGTTGAAGAAAACAATTCAAAATCACAAAGTTGTTAAAGTGACAATCTGGAAATACGGCACGTGCCTTCTTAATCCTATTTATAGAGTTCATATGGAAATAAGGCCCTGTTACATCCATAGTCACGTGCCTTCTTATTCCTATTTATAGAGATCGTTTGGAAAGAAGTCCCTGTTACATCCATAGTCACGTGATTTCTTATTCCTATTTATGGACTTCATTTGGAAAAAAATTCCTGTTACATTCATAGCCACAGCAAGTCAACTGGGTCATATCTGCAGAGTTATTATCCGAGGAATACCAGGTCACAAACTCATTGCAACTTGCACAAGTAGTGTTAAGGTTGACATTGCTTGCTTACGCTTATTGACATAAAGATATGTTTGCATCTTCAAGTTGACTTTTATTCATAGATACTAGACATTTCTTTCTAGATTCCTTGAAATTGACTTTAATTACTTCATCATCACTATATCACATTTTCCGCACCCATAATCGCAACAAAGAAGAAAGAACTTGACTAGATATGAAGGGATTAATTCTGAGTCAACCTTAATATGCAGATAACAAGCAGGTGGCCAAGTAGATAATTTTACAGGCCTTAAAGTTCTTTAGAGCTTGTGAAAAGTTTACGCCTTAACAAATCAGAGCATACAGCCAAATCTATGGTGGAATCGCCCTAAAGTGTATAAAAGTGTTACTTTTGACTTCTGGCGCTAGCCAATGGCTCTTTATAGGATAGCATGGACTTATAAACCGTGATTCCAACATGTCGTGACGTAGGAAACACACATGTCACTAGGACCTACCAATATAGAAATCATTAATTGTTCAGAAGATTTGCTTCTTATCGTCTTCTTTGTAAACTGGACCCAAAGGTTTTGGAAATGGGGCAAGCGTTGAGAAATTTTTCATTTCCTGCATCAATGGCGAAAGTGAACGTGATGAATCTGAGTTCTCCTGATGCATCCCTCTGGTAGAATGTATGATAGCCATGTCCGAGAGCCGCTCAGATGACGGACACTCGGAAGTCCCAAGCCACTCGCGAGAAAGACAGCAGAATCCAATTTTTGTCAGGTATTGTTTCGTGGGGACGTCATGCTTATTATCTGAATCTTAATGTCAATAAAGGGGAAAAAGAAGACAGAAAAGCCTTATGCCGAGGACAAAGGTTCACAGATCCGCACACAATTTGTCTCATCTGACAACTTTTTCCCTCACTCTCTATCATATCGTTCGTCACTGGCGCTCCTTCGAAGGAGGTTTAAGACCTAATGACACGTCCAACGGACGTTATCAGTATCCTTTTGATGGTGCAATTTCGTGGAATTTTCGGCCAACATTATGTGTCCATAATCGATAAGACTCTACAGGAGCTGAAATCAAATCAGTGCTTTTCGTGCACGTGGTGGGTGTCTGAAATGCGGAACTCTTCCACCGAGACGTTGTCACGCAATTGTGAATTTCCTCGTAGCAACATTGCTCAAAGGTATTCACGAGCCAGTCTGCAACTGAGGTGGACCTCCTAATTTTTTCAAGTTGTTTTGGCCTCTTCAAGACTATATAAAGTTACTCAAATATGAAAAGAGTTTTGATAGGAGCAAGAGCCCAATCAGGAATCCTAGAGTCCAAACAACTGAAGTTGCTTGGAAGAAGCACATGAGAATCGACATTTTAAAGAAGACGGTGCCGATAGGTGCATTATGTGACTATTTCTCAGTGGACCGGTCATAAATAATTAAGGGACAGTTTATTTTAGACTCGTGGATTAGAAAGAATTTCTGTTCTGCATTCATCTTCTCTAGACATTACAGTTGCAGGATTGTAGTTTCCTAGTAGTTACCTCTTCTTTTCCAGAATATAGTGATGTTTCAGCCATCAGTTATTGGCTTTTTTGGGGCTCGAAGGTGCCTCGATATTGTCATCTGCGAGCAGCAACCTTGTGTGAATCACTGAAATCTAAGAGCCAGCTTTGCACGCCAAACTTGAAAACTTCCTCCGACCTTCGCCAAAAATGTTGTTTGCAGGTTGAGTTCATGGGCTTCACTTATGAAATTATATTTGGCTGGGCCTTCGATCTTCGCGATTCTCATGCTGTTGTCAAAAGATACAAATCCACTGTCGCATCCTCTATGACGAGAAGCTGTCATCAGTGGGCTCGGATGGAACAGCACTGTCCCCCTTGCTCATGGTAAAGTCAAACACAAATTATGATATTCAAACGTGACACGACAATATTTATCGAAGTGCATGTGGAACTTTGTGTACTTGGCACACATTCATGTAGATGCTCTTCTGGTTTTTTACGACACTGTCAGCTTGAGATAAATCTGGCCTACCATCGACACTTCCGTTTCATCGATCTTCTGAACTTGAATCTTTTGCAACTTTCATCGAACTTGCAATACATGCTTTTACTCGGCCAGGACGCTGTGTTTCCTCGTAGTTACGATATGTCTGAATTCCAATCAGCAAGTTGCCACTCTATCCGTCAGTCTATTCTGGGACTATTCTCCTATGGGGTATTTTGTAGCATTGATTTTATCCAGCCTCACGAGTTGAGACTTTTACGACAATATCAAACAGAATCTTGGGCTCACAGTCTGACTCACTTTTCAACGGGAGGCGATCAGTCGTCTTGAAGTGACATATGTAGAGTTTTGGGGACCAACTAACAGGCTTTAGGCCCAGTCTTGCCACATCACTTTTTTGCACGCACAGTGTGCATGTTCCTCATAGCACACATGTCTCAATGTGTAGCGTATCCTTTACAGTTGTTGCACTAGCAAATTGGCAAATCCGAAACCCTCCAATACGCGAGCTCATTTTTTAAGCAGTATCACCTAGATAACATGAATGTCAGATCATGCAGAATGTAGCGCATTGACTGGAAAGTCCGTAGGTACTCTACAGGTCTAGATCGTGAAAGACTGAAGTGGTGAGTCCATACACGCTATCGTCACAAAAGTCCAGATGTCCAATTTTCAAGATGTTCTTGTGTTTGAATTACTTGCGGGAGTGGGGTGAATCAAAACTTCGATTCATCTTCCCCTCCTCTTTTCATTGTTGACAATCCAACTTTAGAAGGATATATAGAAAAATAAATTATAAAATAAATAGATAATAAAAAGAAGAAGAAGAAGATATTGACTTAAAGGTTGGAATATAAGCACCATATGAAAGAAAAAATATTCATTGTTTAAGCAAAACCAATAGGGCCATCAAACCTAGGAGTTGATGAAAAATATTTTTTTCCATACAAAAATAAAAAGAATTCTTCAAAGAGAGAAATAAAACAGAACTCTATGATTTCAGAGATTTATTTATTTTTTATCATAAGTAGAAAAATATTTTAAGATAATCGTAAAGCATGTGCTTGTCACTGCCATGTAATCTCTTGCAATATTTATTCTATTAAGGAGATTAAAGAATTTATATTTCCCATGTGAAAACCTATTTTGAAGAAAAACCATTTTTAGGAAAAACCTATTTTGAACTGTAAAAAACTAACATATTTATGAAAAAAAATGTAAACTCATTTCACTATATGGAAATTCATATCGACTAGAAAATATTAAACATAACACAAAAAATATGAAAGCCTTAATTGTTGAGCTGAAAGGAACTCATATACTACTAGTATCAAAGCAGCAAAAATAGTCATATGATGGCATAAAAGTAAACATTGAAGGTTGTTGCAATTCTGGTGTTTCCTGTTAACAGAGACTGGATTAGAAAGAGTGGTCCAGGCGAGCTAGTTGACCCCTGACAATTCATATTCCAACCTCGTCATATTATATCACTTCCCACTCGAGAGGCAGGTAGTAGCAAATTACGGACAGACTTTTCTTCCCTCAACCACTAAAGACCTCTTCAGCCTCATGTACACCTGCAACTCTGCTCGCAATCGTGTTAGATTAACATTGAGTAAAGGCCTTCCACACAATAAGGACCCAATGCTGTCGATGGTACCATACTCGTGACCTTTCAAATGCTGACATTCACACGCTTTGGTTGTCTTTCCTCTACTTCAACCTGCAACTGCACGACGAAGAAATGCACTGGATGACACCTGCTAATCCAAAGTGGTCACAGCAGGCTTGGTATTTAAGTATCCTATATTTCGACCTGCTTTGATACGAGAAGAACAACGTAAAAGTAATTGAGAAGTAATTCAGTTGCAAAAAGTCTACATGGTCATCAACTGTCACATTCAGGAGACAAAATTTCAAGTAATTGAGAAGTAATTCAGTTGCAAAAAGTCTACATGGTCATCAACTGTCACATTCAGGAGACAAAATTTCAAGTAATTGAGAAGTATTTCAGTTGCAAAAAGTCTACATGGTCATCAACTGTCACATTCATGAGACAAAATTTCAAGTAATTGAGAATTATTTCAGTTGCAAAATGTCTACGTGGTCATCAACTGTCACGTTCAGGAGACAATATTCCAAATAATTGAGAAGCACTTCAGTTGCAAGAAGTCTACGTGGTCATCAACTGTCACATTCAGGAGGATGTGACAGTTGACAATATTTCTCTGTTTCTACTTGAACAGAGAGAGATTAAAGATGATCGGTTGTCATCAACTGTCACATTCGGGAGACAATATTTCTCTGTTTCTACGTCAACAGAGAGAGTTAAAATATGGTCGGCGGATGATGTAAACCACAATGACAACAGCTAACAACTGGTCCCATTACATAATCGTCTGAATTTGGTGATTCACCGCTTTCGCTCCTGCCAAAGAAGGGAGATCCAAGTGTGACGAAATTAAGACTTGGTGAAAAACAAATTGTGTTGTGTTCCTTAAGCAAGCTTGAGACTTAACTCTTCCACCTTGTTTTGTTTACTTTGTTCATCCTTTTGTTGTCAAATTGTAACTGTAAACCGTTATTCTTTCGTGTGCATGAGAGGCGACTTCCATTATATACCAACCCTGGCCTTTACATAGTATCCTCTCGAGCACACGAAATCATCATCAACTCTCGACCTTGGCTTTTAAGAAAAGGCATCAGCCACAAACAAAGTTGAAAAGTAGATATAATTAGTCAAGACTGTCTACTTGAAGAGCCTATTTGACTAGTGAATTTAATGTCCATGTTTTTGTGTAACTGACGTGACATTCACAACCAACTTCAGAGGAAACTTTCTCAACAAAGTCCTATTAGAGGTGGAGTTGCCTTGACGGCCAAGTCACCTCTTTTAGATGGCTTGGAGTACCAGGTGGTTTAAGTATCAAGCCACCTCTTTTAGACTACTTGGAATATAAATAAAGAGTCTAAGTACATTGTACCTCTAGTCAACATCAATTGTATATTGTTTTTGATTTTATGAATAATAATTTATTTATTTACTTTTGAATCTACTTCAACCTTGTTTCCATATTTGATTATATGATTTGTCTATGATAACAAATGTATCTCTATAGTTTGATTTGTAAACACAACATAGTTTGATACACAAGTGTGATAGTTTATGAATATATATAGCTAAAGAAAAGAAAAGTAAAATAATTCTAAACAGTTTAAAATGAACTATTAGATGAATCATAGTTTTGACTTGTAATTTCATGGTAATAATATTTATGCTCATGCATGATTTTGATAATGTTAAAAACATAGAATTATCTTGATAATACTTCAACAAATAAATGATATTTTCATGTTAAATTCTTTCACATCATCACCCTAAACTTGTAAAAAGTTGGTTGTGTCATTATATTTACATGAAGACATGTTTAGAGACTCAAATTATTTAATGTATCTTTTAGCACTCAAATTATTGTATATATCATAAAGAAAATGCTTACTTTCGTGCATCACAATGTATTAAATGGAGCTGATCATAATAAATAATGTAAATTCCTTTAAATTTTCAATGATTTAAATTTATATCAATATTCAAACATTTTAGATATATATTTACATATTTGAAAATTTTATGTGTATTTTCAAGATATTTACAAATATAAATATCAATAATATATATATATATATATATACACACACACACGTAATTTTATCACCAAACACTTGTTGATGATTTATTTGAATATACTTCAGATACCTATTTGAATGAAATTCAACTTGGAAATAAAATTTGAAAAGTGTAATCACTGTATAGTTAAATCTATGAATTTAAAGTACTATTGTATTATAGAGTTTTAATGTTTCGTAAATGATCTTTAATACTGAATATCAGTCATTTGTTAATTTTCTTCCTCTCTTTATTCACTTTATATCTTGAAGATTAGAATTATATCAAGTATTATAATATTATAAAATTTACATATTACCAATCTATATTAGAATTTTTTTTGTTTTAGATCATGTAGAAATATGCATAAATTGAATAAAAAAGATCAAGTTCTTCATTTAAATCAAATTTATCAGTATAATAGGACTAAATTTACATATGTTTTTAAATTATCATGTCATTCGATTAGAAATGTTTTTTTGTTTATGTATCTGCATTATCATGTTCTGTAGAATAAAATTTCTAGCTAATAATGTTCAAATCATAGAAGAATCAATAAATTGGATTCGACTTTAAAATCTTGATACTCTAATTTTATGATACAAAATTGTATGGTTTAATTTTTATTCCATAAATTCAATCAATTAATTTTTTATGAAATAACATGATTATCAAAGAATATTTTTGCAAAGGTAATTGTGTAAACATAGATTTGAATTCTCCATCACTAACATCAACAATTTTCAAAAACATTACTTATTGGTCATTTGTTTCTTTCATTAAACAGTACCACGTTTGACTTATTCACATAGTTGATGATAGGCTGAATTTCATAATATATCCAAAAATTCATTATTAAATATCTTTCAGTGTTCACAACTTTTAATGACTAGTCTAATTACAAGTTTCAACTATGTTTATATGTTTCAGACTTTTGAACAACTAGTTATTACTATAGTTGTGTAACATCGAATACAAAGTGTAATGAAGATAAACCTAATTTTCTGTGTAGGGCAACATCTACACCTAATACCAGAAGGAGTTTTGCATGTATTTTAATAAGCTTTTTCTAACCAACAATTTTTTCTAAATCCATAGTTAAGATGAAAATTATAATTAATTTAAAGTCTAGTCTATAGATATGATTAAATTTTTCTTGAGATCAAGAATGAATCACACAAACAGTTTCAACACTTTGGAATATTGGAGTTCTTGCTATTACTAAAAAGAGAGATTCAGTCATTGCTTCGGTTACATCTAGAAAATATCCTAACCAACTACTGCAACAAAATTCATAAGAACAAGAGCTTACATCCAAGATTTCTTTTCTCCATGCTAGATCAAACAAGGCCTATTGAACCATTTGCGTAGATAGACACAACTATACTGATCCAAAAATCTTGAAAGAGGTGGACACTTGTAAAATTGGTACGATAATCTTTCTTCTATCCATCAAGATCTCTGATGGTAAGGTAAAAAAAATCTGATATTCAGTAAAATTTTATCAGCAATAACATTATGTTAGCTTACATAGCTCAATGAGCTCAAGTTGTATTACATCTTTCTTAATTCCATTCTCATCAAGATGAATAGGACGAACTTATATGGGCAAGATGGAAGACACTTCTCGTCGGTGATAGTTGTTGAAGAAGTTAGATTCTTGACTGTTATGACGAGAAATGACTTGAATTGACCGTGTTTTTCTTGTAGAGTGAATATGGATAAACAGAAAAATCAGACCTTCAGCATATTCAAAAAGAAAATTCGATACTCAGAGCTTGGTTTTGATATCCAACAAGGACGGGAGCGTGTGTAAACATACCATTTCAGTGTACAGTTATTCGTATGCATCAGAATTTAAAGTACAGATATAATCACTCACCCCTGCTGTCCTATACACAACCTTCTTGTTTCTGAGATATTAACGAAGCACAGAGACAGAATTGGTTCAGCGGCATATTGTGGATCAGCAGTTTTTGCATGTCTCCCCATGTCTGCATCGTTTCACTTCGAAGAGTGTTCTTTCATCTGCATTACTCATAGCATACTCCAATATTAAGTGAACTACCTGCATTTGTCAAATAATCGACAACTACTCATCAGTCATTCTAGATCAGAGCTGCTTACACCGTCTTTGGGCATACTTCTACACAATATTATAAACTCTTCACACTAGACACGGCTCAAGGAAGGAATACGTAGTAAAAGCTGCACTAATCTTGCTAATCAAGCAGGTGTTGATCATGAATCATCGAACAATTTATACAGATTGTATTGTATATTTCATTTTCTCTTGTCCGACAGGTTTCTGTTGGATAATACTATGCCTTGAACTCCACAAGTTAACAGGGGAAATATAGAATTCAATACACATTCGATTTTACTATGTTCATTCCGTCTATCGTGGAACAAACAGAACTTCTGAATGCGACCAAGAAAAAAAACATGGACGAAAATGACCTTGTCTTTGCTTGATAGATTGTATGTGATCATAACCTCGTCCAAAAAACTGTCATGCTGCATAACGAGTACAACCGAGTCAACATGTAGGTTTTGCCTTCTGAGAATGCACTTACCTATTTACCTTTTTAAATATTAGTATTCATGTAAAGGAAAGAAATCTGTTATCCGCAGAAAAAACATAACGTCCCCTCAATTACTCAGATATATATGAAAAAGAGATTTAGCTAGAAGGAAACTTAATAAATGTTTCATTTTTCAGATTTAGTGTCTGTATTTTGAATAATCGAGAAACAATAGATCCGAAACTAGAAACAAATATTTCAAATACATATATGGAGATTGAGTAAGCCTTCTACAACTAAGCTAAGGATACTAAGCCCTCTAATATTAGGCAGTCAATACAACATACGAGGGTCTATTGTTTTCAGGTTATGACAAAGAACTTCCATCGACTGCATGCTTAAAGTTAGTACATAAAAAAGAAACAAGATGAATAAAATGGGCTGTGGATGACCATGACATTCTCACCACTTGATCGATGGCATGGTTCCCTGTGACTGGATTTTGTTCGACGTGTGAGTTGGATGAAAGCTGCGAACATCCATACAAGCTCTTGAGTCCAAGCAAACAAAACTCATAACCCGTTTTATATATATCACTTGGAGCCCAAAGACCAGAGACCTGACGTATATACAGGTGTAAGGCTATATTGATCTACAGAGCATCACAGGAAATCAAAATGCTCTTCAGTGGAGTGTGGATGCAATCAGGACACCTCGGACTATGAACTTCCCCAACATCTGAATGACATTCATCACTTTGCCAAACTCGGCTCTTGCCTGCTTTTATCGAGCTGCATAGGTTTCTGCCCAATCGTGCAAGATTGGACAACACTTTACAACGCATGAATGCATATGTACTCTATCTACCAGAGCCCATCAAGAGCTTTAAATTACGCAAGCAGCTGCCTATATATATGAGAAAACCCCAACAAAGATTTGATTAGTTTGTAAAGTCCAACCTCTTTTAGCTTAGCATCTGCAGAGTCTTTTATTTGCTTCAGGTACATTATGACAATTCTGAGAGCTTTGTCTGCAGTCAGAATGACTCTGGCATAGTCAGATCTCAAAATGATGATGCTCTCAATTCTTCAAGGGCAATTGAGATGACAAGAAACGATTTTCGTTATATTATCAAGATACACTTTCTGAAAAAACGAGTTCACTGCGTCCATTCAAACTACAAGTGAGCTGGAATGAGTTGTAAATAAACTACTGATGATCAAACCAACCTGCTGTTGGCAAATTGTACTTCTTCGCCATGCTTTGGAGCCAATCGAGTTGATGTTGCTCTAAAGTCAAGGCAATCTCCAACTTAGCCATTCTTTACGACCCCAGCAATCTGACAAAGGACATATATATTTTCGAATTACACGTTCATTCAAAAGCTTGATTCTTGTAGAACACAGCAGCTAGAAAGAGATGAGACAACCATCGGGCGAAGAGGAGTTTGTGAATGTATGCTAATGTGTATTGATAGCTGTGCAATCCATAATGAATAAAAAGTAACTTGGATCAATCAAAGAAACTGCTATTACCATCGTTTCAATTGCGAGAGATTTTTTCAAAGCTACTCAAGTTCATGAAACATCTATCGAACATAAGTTTACCCACATACAATTCAATAAAATTTGGCCAATTGCAAGCTTCACTGAAGATGACGGATCAACATGAAAATGCTTAGAAAGTTCGGCTGATGAGTACATACCAGATTTCATGTTTCCGTTTGAAAAGAAAGTGAAATCGGCATTGACAACCTTAGATATGCAACATACCGGAACCTCAAATCTACAGTTGAAAAGAAAAAATTGAACTGGCTGAGACAAGCACTTTTAAGTTGTAAATCACTTAGCCACTAGGGGAAAGTCAAGACTAAGGACGCGTAAGATGGACTATAGGAAATTTTGATGAACTCTATTATTACACAAAATCGATAAGTTTGTTCAAGCGTTGAGTCAGCCAAAATCAAACCAGTGAAGCAAATCATGTACCCTGTTGTATGCTTGCAGATCTCACACAACTTCATACAGGCGAAACGATGCAGATGACTTCTACCCAATAGCTGTAAAATTATCATCGAGCATTCTGTGACCACATCCAAGCACGAAAATCCACCAGAGAAACTCTCCGCCACATGAGACACAAAACAAAGTGAAGAAGTCTACTCACTGGAAAGTGTCGCTTAATCGCTTGATCGAGGTCTCGGAAATCAGCAGTCCCAATACTGCTCAAACCTTCAGCAGACGCGATGCGCAGGGACAATTGTCTACCGAGCACAACACAGCTCTCAAGTTCCAGCTCGTGGCCTTCGACTCTTCATCGCCTGATCCGACAGCACGTTTAATCTGGTTAAAACAGTCTCCCGTGCGCGAGCTGCCAAAGTCCAGTGGCTTGGAGAATTGGCATGCGTCATCCATGACGTAAATCCACATTCTGCACTATATCGCTGCAAGGGCCACTGGCTCGTCACGTCACGATGATTCCTGCCGGTGCCATGACCTCAGCAAAAGAAGAACCGGATTTTCTCGCGAGGGCATCCCCAACCCCCAACTTAGATAAATTTATCTCTTTTTATTGTCTTCTTCGAATGCCAAGTTCTTGGTTATTTTCTTTGTAAATTTTTGTCTGCTTTGGTTACATTGAGGAATAGATTAAAAATAATTATAGATTTCTGAATGAATATTGGTTGGAGAGATTTTTTTTAAGTCTTAAGTTCTTTCAAGAATTAAGGTTTTGATGGTCATCTGTTGTTCATCTGAGGTAAGATGTAGGAATTGTGCATTTGCATATGTTAGTGTATGAATGATGGAACACTGAATTTTCTTATCATTCTCTTTCTAATTGCTATAGTTTCATTTCCCGTGCTTGATTAGTTTATCACTTGATTCACCATGTCTGGTGTGTACCATGGCAGTACGCACTGTATTTTTGTGAAAGAGATGCACGTACTACGTTTGATTGTATGTTCATCGATTAGTTATACTTCTAAAGTGATGAGAATTTATCGCAACCAAACGATTTAGAGGCCTTCTCGATACTGGAAAGTTTTATCTGCGTGTAATTTCACAACTCCCTTGTGCTCTTAATGACAGGAGTAGATGTAACTCTAGCTGGATTGATCGCCGTGTGATCCCATTGATAAGCAAGGATGGTCTTTGTTTATATTACTTCCACAAGAATTACTATATTGTATTAAAACACATGTTGGATATAGAACGGTGATAGATAGGATTTGGATATTTTTAGAAGTGAAAGAATTACATTGTAGAAGTAATCTGTAATAACTACACACTTGTGGAATCAAGTTGGGTTATACGAAACTTAAAGTGCAACTCAATTGCTATAGTGTATGATTTTGGGATAAGCCTTAAACTTGGACATGTCACTCATACTTTGTCTATGACACTCTTAGTATTATATACAGTTACTCTCCATGGCTTTTATATTCCTGCCAGTAAAATTATACTCATAGACTGTCAACCGAACCGGTCATTATATCTTCATAATTTATTCTCTCGTTTTAAGTGCCCAATCATATCTCTTTATAATGACCTTGTCATGAATGTTATATATCATCAAAAGATGTCTTACCCATCACAAAAATCAAGTGCTTGCTCAACCTGTACTATGCATTAACAAGCGGCGGTTGATATACTGTTTACTAGGAATGTTCATCAACAACCTACGTATTTGGTTTCAATCTCAACTGACTTTAAGTACATGAGCATTTCATCCTCTTGAGATATACTTGGTACAAACAATACTCGACGCACATCTTCATATGCTGCTTTTAATCTATCATGAAATATATCTAAGTATAGAATAAAGATATATCATCCAAGTACACTAACTGACTCTTAACTAACTTTTCCGTACTATTTCCATGATGAGTGCAAAAAATCCTTGGAAGATTGCCCCATCCAATAAGTAATTGTGTATGTCTGTGAAGTCCATATCTAATAGCAATATTATCTTGATTAGTTTCACCTCTTATAGTGTAAAATAAACCCAAACCAAATTCAAATTCAACTTGCCAAATTCAAACTGCCAACAACACTTGCAAACTTTTTTCAACGATACCTCCACTTCTAGATGAAGTGTTTGATCGTCTGTACGAGGAATTAAATTACTATTATTGTCACCACAGATATGAAAGAACTGTTCTTGTGTCTTTAATATAGAGACCATTATGAGCATATGGTAGGGAAACCTGGAGAAGACATGAAAAGAATATAAAAATGTTATTTAGATCAACTACATTTCAAAATATGTAAATCATGGTTCTGCTGATTGATTGATTGTGCCCTGCTTCGATTGCTATCGAGGTCAAACTATACAAAGGAGAGGGTGCATACGTGCTTGCGATACTAAAACAATACATTTAATAGTTTGATCAAAGGTATCGAAAGAAATCGATATGGAGCATCAAACACAGAATCCAAGTCGGATCTGAAGTATTTGATCCACCGCAGAGAGTTGGTACAAGGCCAGCGGAACTCGACGTGGGATCGAGGTTTGTCCTCCGAGGCTAGTGAGAAACGAGCTCATCGACAAGAGAAGAGAGCAGTGATCGATCTGTGCGACAGTCGAATCCTGCGATCCTGCCGAGCACATGACTTCCTTCTGCTGCCCCGACCGTCGCTCGACCGACCGTGCCAGCGGCGCAGGCTCAGAGAGAGAGAGTCGCATCTCTGGCCCGAGCTCCTCCCATTTTCCTCGATCGCACGACGAGGGAGGGCGGGGGTCCTTTAGGGTGGTTGCGTGCGGGAGAGACGGGAGGTCGGAGTAGACGTTGCGCAAGCGAGCGAGAGAGCGATTGAGCAGCGGGCGAATCGATTCGATCGGGGGAGAGATGGAGGGCGGGGATATGAAGGCCTTGGCCAGGGCCAAAAGAGCCTCGTCCAAGAGAGGCAGGGCTCGGCATCCTACTCGTAAGAACGCGCACTCTGCTGCGGATCCCGGCGCTGTTGCTGCTGCTCGTGATCAGAATACCGCTGCGGAGGATGCGTTGCCTTCCAACTGGGAGAGGTACTCCGATGGTGGTGGCAGTGGCGACGAAGGGGCTGCAGCTCCTGTCGATGGACAGGTTGTTCCCAAAAGCAAAGGAGCTGATTATTTGGAACTTCTATCATCCGATGCTCCGCAATTATACGAGGACCTTCCAGGTTTGTGCTCGTACGACGTGGTTATGATTTTGCTTTCTCTTGTGGTGAATATACGTGCAATTTGTTCGAGCACCCGGCTTGTCGCAGGTCGTCTGCAATTCTTTGGGTGATGAATTTGGCTGTATGATTTGTTTGCAGAGCTGGGAGGGTTGTCTGCGATGATGCTGGCGCCTGGACTAGGATTTTTTGATGGGGATTCCTGGTTGGAACCGCCTTCGGCCTCAGAGCAGCAAACGGCGCATGTTGCGGTGTGCCTCATGCCTGCCCTGTCGTAAACTTCGTAGAGTGCGTCATGGCACCTGACAACTGCTCTTTTGGAGTCTTCTTGTAATTGGTACTGCTCCACCATACTACTTTTCATTAGAACTAGCCGGTCGTGATTTCAAATTCACGCAAGGAACACATGGGTTGATAAAATCTGAGAACATTTGCCGACAACCTCACCGAAGGAATTTCTGACTTTTCTGGAATAAACCTGGCAGGCCGCGTTGCTTACAGTGGACTTGAAAATATTGGGAAGGAGCATAGCGCAGCTTCATATATCAGAACGACTTATGTTGGAGCCAGAGCTCTTTCCAGAACAGGTTAGCATTGTCTTCTCCATTTTTCAGATAATGTAATAGTCCTGATGTGCTGTCTTTTTTTTTTGACAAATGTAGTAATAATTTAGTGGAATACTCTCATATTGATTTCTATGTAGGTATGGTTTTTACACCTTATTCACTGCTTCCGGTCTTTCAGGTTAAGAGTTTTAGAACTGAGATAGGTCTTCTAGACTTTCACTTGGATGCAGTATTGCAGTGTGCAATGTATGAGGCAGATACTCATGTTTTGAGCTTTCTCAAAGTTATTTCTGATATAGGTCTCCATGTTAGGGTTAGAAAACCTTTTCTCCCGAATGATCGTTAGAATACTTACGTCATCACATGTTGTGGTCCATCAAGTGAGCTGCTCTGCTTATGATTGAACAACCCTGATATCATTTTCAAGATGCTGACGTTCTACCTCACTCAGGAGAAAGTGAAACAAGAGGATCATCCTGCAAAATTTTTCAAGGCTGGGACCGACGACAGGCTGCAAGAGGAAAACTGTGCTGACACGGCCAAAACTGATACCGGAGCCGCAAGTATGAACGGGAATGATCAAGACAATACATCACCGCTGCGGAACAATGGAGGAATGGACTCGTGGAACCAATCTGGCTTTGCCTCCGATGCATCCAGGATATCACCACAATCTACCTTGACTGAAAGTACAGACACCCTTTCAGTTCTAAAAGGAGGAGCTCCTTTACCAAGAAAAGATGCTGTGGAGCAAAGAAGCGAACTAAATGACAGGATCAAAGCGGAAGCATCGGCCCAACCTCCTGGATTTTCGAAATTCGTACCTGCAGCAGCAGAGGCTGACCTTGACGATCTGCTGGACATGCTTGATAATCAGGCCTCACAACCACCTTCGAACATGAATGACTTACGTAATGGTACAGAGATAGCGTCTTCGCCAACTTTGTCTTTCTTATCATCTAATGCAAGTCCACAATTCCCACAAGTAGATCCTCACAAGGGGCTGAATAGAATACCCACAGTTTCGAGCGGGAATTACTACGTGCCGTCAAATGTTGCCATTACAGATAGGAGCGAGGCGACCCCCAAGGAAGTCAAAAGTAGTAGCTCTCCTTCTTTGGATGATGACTTTGACTCATGGCTTGATTCAATATAACAATCAACTACTCTTCAGATGAATTGAAAGTGTCTGATGGGAATTTTTTGTAGATGGTATGATTGCTTGAAGATCGCTTTGCTTGCAGTTCTTATGAGAGAGCTTATGTTCTCTTCGTGAAAAAACTTATAGCACCTACTAAATACATATCTAAAGAAGCTACTTAGACCTCACTAGACCTATTTACTATAGCAATCCAGTAACAGAATATGTATTTCGTCTATTTGCGCTGTAGAGGATCCATGTTTGATCCAATCGAAGATAGTTCAGACTAGATATTTCTCAAAATCGGCCTCAAAACAGCATAATTTTAAAAACATTCTGTTGGATTCCAACGTAGTTTATTACTACAACTTCTGCACCCCAGATACGATATGGCGAACGCCAGACAAAAAGTAAGCATGACGCTAGAACTCTTTGAGTATCCCCTTAGTTCTCAATTCCTCGTGTTAGTTTTGAGTTCAGCTGTTTAGTTGCCTTTTACCCACAGCCCTGAACGCCATGTAGCCAGGGTCCGAAACCGCTCATTCATCGTAAACATTGATAGACCTTTCCTTGCACTGTGGAAGATTAGACTGATCACAGCATGGAACTTGGACTCCCGTACAAAATTTCCAACTTACAGTGGGTAGTAGTAGACGTCCTTATCGTGCTCATTCTTCTGCCCTACAGTCACGTTACAAAAGCAACGAGATTTACGTCTTGGGTCCTAGTGCCCGGGGAACACTTGTTTCCCAGCCCAGTCGCGATCAGCAGCGCTTCAGCCTTCACACAAAAAGTCGCAAGGAATCGTGTAAAAGTGCCTGTCTTTTGAGAACATCGTCATGATTTTCTCCTTGTCCACGTACCCTGACAACAATTTGGCGCCAGGCAAATGCAGTGTGGACCTACTCTGTATAACCAAATCCAACCACCAGCCTCACGCGCAAAGGCATCACCAGGTGGGAGTCGTGAGTCGTGTATGGAGAATATAAACCTCGAGGTCGGCAGAGCCACTGGGTCTTCTAAGAAAGCGACCCAAAGGAATGCTAGCTTCTCAGCCACCTAAAGCTACTGTTGGTGATTGGTTTGCAGTTGTGTGCCAATCGAACAAACGAAGGAATGATCATGAAGCAAGTGATGTTAATCAAGAGGTCAATATCTTTTCAAAACAGAATATGTCCAGGAGTATGCTTCTCACCCATCACACACAGTGAAGGGACGTATCCTCGTGACGCCTCATCGTTGGTATCTTCCAAGCTGCAGAGTTCATGGACGGCTTCGCGCACGAGGGTTTGTGTCGATAGGAGATGAAGCTTGAGATTTATGCACTGTTAGTACTCTCCACGAATGGCGACTTTAGAAGGTATACCAGCTGGGTTGTGGTTGTGCAATCGTTAGAGCATGACCGACCACAAATGATGGTGATGGTCAACGAGAGCATGTAGTTCTGTGTGAAGGATAAGCCTCTTTATCCAGTAAGACTTCAGCTTCGTGAGATAGAGTCTACCTCTAACTATGCTTTAATCTCGCACGATGGTTTATCGGCACATCGGGAGAGCATAGTGCTGGTACACATGACAGAGGTTGTGCTACTACAGCTAATAGTTTGCAGATATGCACTAGAAACGATGGATACAATGTCATGCAGATAGCTCGTCTCTCGGCTTTGTATCAATCACATTTTAATCATTGATTCCCACATTCCTCTTGTCTTTCTCGTCGACATTCTCTGAAGCACACTGTTTTCTCCTGACCCTGACTGTAATTCGGTATATTCCCTCTGTGATTCCAGGATGACATAAAGAGTTTATCATTTCATCCTTATATCTGAGAGCTGAGCACAGAGCACCCGTCGATCTGTAACGACGTGCTCAATGCTAGTGGAGTGGGAAATGTTGGACAGAAGTAACTCTTCATTTTCCTATGACCTTAGATAGACCTGTGAGCATAGAGGAAACTAATATCATATTTTATTCTTGTGGACGGGTCTTCCCATCCATTTACTTGGTATCCCTTTTTCTTGTTCTTGTGAAGAGTTTTCATTCTGCACCAAAAATTACAAAGCTTTTCGTAAAAAAATTGGCGACTCGATTCAGCAACTTGCGCAAATAGTGTTCTGGAAGCTACCACAATTATGTATTTGGGAGCTTTGTCACGCGTGACAAAAGCGAATAGGCTATGACGAAATGAGCTATGAAATCCTAGAGTTCTGACACACATGCAGGACATGAGTTCCACGTGTATCGTCACAAAAACTTACAAGAAGTCATAAGTTTGCAAGTTAATTCGGTTGGAACTGCGGTTTGCAGCTAAGGTTGTGCTTTTTCCAGCATCCGATCTGTGTTCATATGCTTCAGCGGAATGGGAAACTCAAACGTGTTCATGTCCTTTATGACGGAAGGTTTAGTACAAGGAAAGACCAAGCACAAGAAACAATTTGATAATCCAACAGATTGCGTGCTCCTGTCCATTTGGAAACTATTTTTTGACTCTTATGAAGTACGAGATCACCGACTGTGTGCTTATGCCTCGTTGATGTCTTTATTCCCATCCTGTCTCTTCCTTCGTCTCGTGAAAGATACGAGAGATCAGATTGCTGAACATATGCCAGTCTAAAAGATAAAAACGTGGGTACAAACAAAGATATCGATAACATATATTGGAATACTGTATCTCACCTTCGCCCCACCTGCAAACAAGAAAGTCTACAAGTCTAAAACTTGACCCATCCAAGTCAGAATTATCAAGAGACACATTCATGAAGGCTTCGCGCGCCTCTTTGCCCCCCTTTCTTTGACAGCAAAGGATGCCTGCTCATTAACTCATTTCTTTGGTCGGAAGACTTCAAAGAAAAACCGAAAACTTTTAAATTATCTCCCGAAATCCTTTCGACCAGTAAGCATTCTACACAGCAACGTCAACCATTGGCTGCGAGGAGGATAAATGAATTTCCCACTCGGGCTCAGAGTCCCTGACCCTCATGCTCGCAAAAAGCTCGGAAACAAAGTAAACACCCCTCCAGATGTGGAGGCTGCTTCATGACGAGTCCAACTCTCTGAACCAGCGACGAGGTGCGTGTGGACATGTGTCATGCACATAACTAAGCTCCAGGCCTGACGAAGTAATCGTTACACCATGTGTCGCTACACCTCACGACGAGCTGAAATGCAAGCTCTCGCACTTTGATGACGAGATAAACTTGCATGTTAGTATTGATAACGAGCCCTCAAGCAATTGGGCCCAAATTGCGCATTTACAGAAAGCTGGATAAGCACCAATAACCAATTAACATTTAATTTAATTCAAGCGTTCCGGTTGCCGAAGTGTGTTAAAGCTTGTCGTGGGTGTCGCAGAAAACACTACAGGAATTGGAATAGAATGCAGTACCCACGTACAGTACGACTGTGTACTGACGACAGAGTGAAGACCTACGGCAGTACCTACCAGAGAAGGATGCTTGGCAGATATGGCCTTCACCACTTTTCACGAAGCTCGGATTCGATCACAGATTTCGTCGAAATTGTTTTATGCTCCTCGCATCCGGTCCGTCGCGAAGATCGGATGCGACGCGACGAGACGCGACGTGCCGTGCCGTGTCGGGCTGGTCGAGGGATGTTGCAAATCATGCCGACGCACGTGCTCAGTTCCTCCGCTGTCATGGTTGGAGAGAGAGCTCGGGACAACTAGAAGACCGAGCACGACTTCCGTGACGTCGCGACAGAGACCATCGACGGTACGGCAGCAATAGACGCCGCTGGCACGCATCACCGGGCCAATAAGAGGAGATGCCCGATTGGCCTCCTCGGCTCTGATTGGTCAACGCTGGAAACCTTCTCGCAGGAGCCAGTGATCTGGCGTGAGGTTTGTCAGACGGCTTCTACGCTGACTGAACTGCTGCCCAACAAGCTGCGACTTTTCTGTGCGTCGGTCGCAAGTGGGGCTCGCACCCTCGACTGACGTCGCGGGACCACAAGGAACTTCACAAGTCGGATGCGGTGAGCGATTCTGACTTGGCGAGGAGGCCGACGGCGTCGATAGATCTGACTTGGAAGGAAGATTGGCCACATGGGGCCACGTGGGGCCACCATCTCGTCGCCCAGAGAACTCTCGTCACATTAAAGCAAGGGTAACTCATAAATATAGCCAAAAAGGAGTCCCCATCGAGAATAACGTGGATGTACCGAAAGGGTCAAGATGGGCTAAGCCCCGAACGTATCGCAGTGTTAAAATCGATAGTTGAGATATCTCAACTATACAGTAAGATTGTTCTCTAAGATTATTTGGAACAATCATCACTCAACATGATTATCGTCATGTGTGATATCAACTCTACGGATAAATCTATATGCATTTCCAGGTAACTTGAACAGAATGGTACCCAAATTCAATAATTCATTTTTTACGTAACAAGGTTTTCTTATTACTAGTTTTTTAGTTTTATTATATTAGCAGTTATTAAGAAAAATGATCACATATATATGTGTTACATGCAATTTTATATTATTTTTTTCCATTAGTGAATCATAGTCCTATGTGAGAAACGCAAAAATGGTGTCTTTCCATATCCCTACATTTTGTTGATGTTTCTCTAGATGTGCATTTACTTGCAGTTTTCTGGTCACAATGCAACTATGACATGATCCTTCTGAATCAAATGTATGTGTGCTCTAACTCGAGAAGAATTGGCAACATGATATGTGAACTTTCACTCTATGTGGGATATCTCCTAGTCCTATAGCAAAAGTCACATGATGTTAGCAGAATTCGTAACCATAAATTTTTATTCAAATATGCAAGGACTTAGAGAAATAAGGTTGCATCTAACATATTAAAAATTCACTCACACTTGTAATAAGGATGCAAATGGCTGACGAAACCATGGTGGAACCTCTCGGCTATAGGGAGTTGGATAGTTTCCAAAACTCATGTAATCCACCAAACACAACAAATTTCCAACTGTCCATTGCAACGTGTCATGGTTTTCTTCATCAAGTTGGAACGATAGATTCCTTACTCCAAAAGCGATGTTTCCTACGATTCAGATTTTATTTGAGGCAAATTGCATTTAGAGCCATTATCTTTGTAATAGCCTTTTGGGAAAAAAAGGACTGGCAGAGCTCTTGGACGAATGACTCCAAACGTAATAATATTATCTGCATCATAGTTTCTTGCAAGTAAATAAAATCAGCTGAAAAAATTCATGTTCTCCCATGCTTTCTGTGTGAATAAAGTTGCAAAAATCATGGAGGCCACGCTTGTCGATTTGCGGGAAGCTTGACACATCAAAATAGAGTTTGGATTTTTTTGTTCAAAAGTCAGGCCCGACAATTTGGAAGTGAATTCGAATAAAGAACGGATCTCCCGGAAAAGGTTCGGACGTCACTAACATCCAAAACCAAAAGTAAACCAATGTCAATCAAGGCCAAGCAAATATAAAGAATGGATCTCCCAGAAAAGGTTTGGACGTCACTAACAACCAAAAACCAAAAGGCCAAGAAAATAAAAATTTTATCCACATAAAATCACGAACCCGTGTTGGAGTTTCTGATACAAAAAAAGAGGAAGAAGCCCGTAACGTGGCCTGTGATGGAAAATCAAAGGATTTTTTAGTTTATATGAGCGAAGCTGAATTACTTGAAAGATGAGAAGGAGGTACATCTGGAGAAGGTAAGGAAGGAGGGCGCCGAGGTGGCAGGAAATAAGTTGGCGTGGCGCCCAGCGCAGTATGGCCGCAGCGAGGGGCCTGGACTATTCGTGCAGGCTGAGAGGCTGAGGCTCGGGCCGAGGCTCGGTCCGGGCCGCCGGGCCGGCGGACGGGGCAGGGGGAAGGGCGGGCCTGGCTGGCTTCTTGTGCATGTGCTGTACGCTCCAGGCGCGGGCTCGGCTCCACGCTCCTCTCGGTCGGTCGCTCTCGGTCGCTCTCTTGGGGGCTGTCTTGGAGGCTCAGTTGGCGCCCCGTCCGTCCGTCGGGCTGGCGAGTGCCGTGGCTGGCTCTTCTCGTCGCTTCTCTTCGTCGTCGTCGTCAGAAGCGCGGGTCGTCGAGTATTTATCGAGTCCAGCGCTGGGCCTTGTGTCGGTCCGTGTTGTTGCGTTGCGTTGTGTTGCGCTGCGCTGCGCGGAGCGAAGCGGGGGGAGCAGAGCGGATTGGATCTTGACGCGTCTTCCGCACACAGACACACACTCTCACTCGGCAGCAGGACGAGGGGATCGGAGCCCGGAGATTCAGTCAGTTGTTGTTCGAGATTTGGGATCCCTGGTGAAGCAAAGCAAGCGAGCACGCACGCGCTCTCGGAAACGAGTGAAACTTTCGGAAGGACGGAATCGGATTGTGCTCGGGCGGGCGTTGTGCGGAGTTGGTGGTTTTATAGCGATCGAGCAGGCGCATTTGCGGGGACGAGTATCGGAGACAGGAATTGGTGACGACGTTGTTCTGCTGGCTCAGAGCTGACTACGACAACCACGACGACGGTGGACGAGGTTTCTGGTTTGTGCTGGGTGAAGGTGGTGGTGGTGGGGGGTCGGCAGGCTGGCTTTGGGTCGAGGCGTTGCCTCCTGTTGTGGACGAGGAATTTTGGGGTCGCTGGCTCTGAGCTCTAGGGTTTGCGTCCGTGTCGGAGGGCTTGGCTGTGTAGGTTGAGAAAAGAAAAGTGAAGAGATCGTGGGGTTCACTCATGGCGAGATGATTCAGAGAGGCATTTCATTTGAGGACGAGGTGGATTTTTGAGGCTGGGTGGGAAGAGAGATTCTTAATTGGCTCGGTTCAGCATTCTCCACTGTTTCCTGCTCTTCGGCAAATGTCTTTGAGTTCCATTATTTGACCTCAGCTAAGAATCGGAGCCTGTAAGCTTCTGCAATTCTGTCCGCGTTGAAGTTGAAAGTTTGCGGGGATTAAATTTGGCATCCGTTGACGAGTAATCAAAACTCGTCACCATTACGAGCGCTCCAATGGCGCGAAGGCCCAGAAAGCGTCAAGCTCTCACGAGGCATGAAGCTAGCTCGAGCGACGACGAGAGGGAGTTAGCTCGCCCTCCTTCGCAACGTTACGAGCCACATCCTATACCGGTGACTTTTGCTGACAATTCTATACCGAAAGATAGACCAGTCCGCGTTTATGCTGATGGCATCTACGACTTGTTCCACTTCGGGCATGCGCGATCTCTCGAGCAGGCGAAAAAACTGTGAGCATTTCCTCTGCCTCACTGTTTCTCTTTTCTTCTTCTCCTTCTCCTCCAAGAATTCATGATCTAGTGGAACGGGAGTGCTTGAAGAACAGAGGAAGTGGGTGTGAATTGAAGGAAACGAAATCGTCCAGATTGTACATCTTTCATGCAGAACAATGGTGAAAACCTTTCTTGAATGCTTGTAACCAGTCGTAAATTCTTCCTAATCTGTGGCCGTCTGACTGCAGGTTTCCGAACACGTACTTACTTGTAGGGTGCTGCAGTGATGCTCTGACCCACAAGTACAAAGGGAAAACTGTCATGCCCGAAGCCGAACGCTATGAGTCTCTCCGACATTGCAAGTGTGTAGTTCCTGTCCTCCCGTAGATTTGTGTATTTTGTTTTCAAGAGACTTGTCGAATTGCAATCAAACTTTACAGGACGCCGACTCTCGCTGTTATTTTTTTGAATTCATAACTATACCTTCAAGATTTCTCTGATCCTGCTGTACACGATTGTTTGGTTGACAATTTCATGCACGAGATTGACAATCAGGGATCTGAGATATCGGTTATTTTTGCTCTTGTTTAGTGAGTAGTTTTTAGATGTCAAATGCTTCAGTCCTGACTGATCATCGTGTTGTTGTTTTGGTAAATATTTTACAGATGGGTAGATGAAGTGGTCGAAGATGCACCGTGGGTGATCACGCAAGAGTTTCTAGACAAGCATAACATTGACTTCGTCGCCCATGACGCCCTTCCGTAAGTGATTTGGTCATTGTCCCTTGTTCCGCAGATTTGCGTCACCGGCGTTGAGCATATTTAACAACTTTGGAACGTTAATGTTGCATCTTAGTGCCTCTTCGACACCGTTTCCTCTTCTCTTTTCTCAGGGCTGTAGATTGTCGTGTTGTCTGCAGATATGCTGATACAAGCGGAGCTGCGAAAGATGTTTATGACTTTGTAAGCTCCTGATCCTTCTATTCTGCTGCCTTTCCTTTCATGCCATACCGTCTTTTCGAAATTCGAGTTATTGATGAGGAACTAATAGGATCATTTTCCAGGTCAAAAAAGCAGGAAGGTTTAAAGAGACAAAAAGGACAGATGGAGTTTCAACATCCGATATCATCATGCGGATTGTTAAAGACTACAACGAGTATGTCATGCGGAACTTGGCTCGAGGATACACAAGAAAGGACCTGGGTGTCAGTTACGTGAAGGTGAGATTTTCTCAATAAAACTGCTGGGCTCCTCCTCAGTTTTTCACTTCCTGTCACTCGTGGATAACGTTTGGATGGAGAAAATATTTTAGCTTTGGAAAAAGCATGAAAAGCTCTACTTACTGCGAGAAAGCTCCTGCTCTAGAAGAAATTGTTAGTTCTGAATTGTTGCTATTTTTCTGTTAACAGGAAAAACAACTGAGGGTAAATATGGGTATAACCAAGCTTCGACAGAAAGTGAAGGAGCAGCAAGAGCGGGTTGGCCAAAAGGTACAGGACACAATTTCAGAGGTTGGCTTCCTCAACTTACCTTTCCTTGCAATCGTTTGATCCCAGCTGAAGAGGAAGCCTGTAGTTTGTACTGGAATCTGCATCTTTTTAGAAGCCGCGTGCCGGCTGCCTCTGAATAGCTTTCAAATTTCTGGAGTTAGTCGTACTACCTTGAGATTTGCAGTTGTGCTCTGTGGTGAATATTATTACCTCTTGATCTTGTGTGCTTATTGGCTATTATATTTTTTGCTTTCAACACAGTTGAACATTGTAGCAAAAACAGCGGGGATGCACCATGGTGAGTGGGTGGAGAATGCCGATCGTTGGGTCAGTGGTTTTCTGGAGAAATTCGAAGAAGGGTGCCATTTGATGGTCAGTAATGAATAACCTTCTTTCCCTTCCGTTGAACTTTTGCCCATTGACATCCGTCAGCGGGGATAAAGATTGGCGTTTTGCTGTCGTCTATGGTTTGATACATTTGCATGTCACAGAAGATTATAGATTTTTCCGTAGTACAGAAAGTACATGCAAAAGATTGTCTATCTCACGCTTCGACTGGACAGGTGGATTTTAGGAAAAATAATCGTGTACTAGAGGATATGAGCTGGTAGCGACCTGTAGAGTTGCTGGCGTCATTTGATCTACTTAGATCCTTAGCAATCTGACTTTTTCTTTAATATGCAATTCAGGAAAGTGCGATCAAGTCACAAATTCAAAAAGGCCTGTTGAGGCCGCAGCTCAATAAGAAGAAGTCGACGAAGCTTATTGCAAATGGGAAAACCAACGAAGGATCATCACAAGGTGTGCTAAGAAACGAATTGATATCAATGTCATGACTTCGGCGACTTCACCATCAACCCTCTGGGGCGTACATAAACTACAAATTATCAGGCACACCACATAGTATTAGGATCTCCGTGTAGGTGTTGATATTCTTAGGTTCCCTTCATGGATGAGTGAGTATTTTTGTTCATGTATGAGAGTCTCGGCTTTTTCCAAAGCCCATGGTACAAATTTTTCCAGCCCTTAACCTAAATAATTTTTTTGACTATGCCTTCCTACTTCTGTTCATTGTACCGAGTCATCCAATACTGTTCACCCAGTAAGTATGAAATTGATGCTCTTAATGATCTATTTTGACGACCTGGGGACTTCCATCTCAAATGAGATTCGTTGAGTTGACGGTTATGTTTCATATTATGAGTTTGTGACTCTATGTGACTCTAAGCAGTGCTTGTTGTTTCGTTTTGATGACATGGGATTTGGTGCAGATTCTTGTGCATTTTGGAATTGCCAGTTGGAAAAGCACTCATTGGTGTTTTCATGTGTCCTTTTCCGGCTTAATGTTGTCGATGTATATCTTCTGCATGTCCTTCCAGGTGGAAAACAATTCGGTTGGGAGAAATGTGCTTTTGATGTAAATGGGCACAAAATTGGTTGTCTTTCCATGATTTGAATAAGAATTCCCTAGTAGCCATCTGTCTTTGTTCTTGATTGGATGGCACTGAAGTCTGTGCTTTACTCTATAGTAGGCTAGTAATGGACAGACTGTTCTCTACTTGGTCAATCGAGAATGTGTGTGCATGGACTTGTGACGACCTGACTGCATTTTCGTCCAACTAAGTCAAGACACACATGATGTGGCCATTAGCTTTTCACCAGTTTTGTAGTTTAGTCATGATGCTTAGGATGTCATGCATGCCTTATTTGCAATGTGACGCCTCATCAAATTGGTCCCGAGATTCGCGATCATCTTGGATCTTCTAATTCCAATGGGATTCTGCATGAAGTTCTTCTTTACATACTTCACACGTCATTCACCTAAGGATGGACATTTTCAGTCGGCGCAGTACACTTATTCAAGTCATCGCAGCCTATGGTACGGACCAGTTTAGGTCCTTCGGGAGTTGCCCAACTCGACCTCTTGCAGTATTCAGTGACAAAATCAGAGACATTGATGTTACTGAAAGATAAATACTCTGCCCTTTTCTTGTTAACGAAACCTCATTTAGCACGCAGATGAACTAAATATGAAAAAACGACTTGCTTTCGATGATTGACTTAAAGGATCATGTGACCATTGTACTTTCTCTCACACAATACTATTTGTGGATACATTCTGTGGAGTCCAATTATGGTGTCAAGTATTTACTGTTTACAAGGTTTCGTATTCGCTGGTTATCACAGTTTCGTAAAATCTCTTGAGCGTGACCGTCTTGACAAGGAAGATCAGACGCTGAAGGGGAACGCAGAGTCTTCCAAAACCTACGGGAGAAAGTCGTGGTTGTCCAATGCGGTACCATACCGTACCGAATGGGAGTGAGACGAAACAAGGGCCGCCGTGGGAGTTGCCGTGGCCATAGTAGACAGGTTTGCAGTACGTTGAGACCGTATCCAAGGTGATTGAGGGTGCAAGAAGATTCGAAAGCAGAGATGGGAGGTCCCCTGAACGTATGCAGGATAAGCCCACGGGAGCTGATAACGACGAATTGTGAATGGGGCCCCAAATATTCAAAAGGTGGAATTGTGAAAAAAAAGGTGTTGACGAGGAAGTGAATCTCCCGCAGGTGAGGGCCTTGAACCACCACAACAACCATGACAAGTCAAAGGTACGCAATCTCTTGGTGCCTTTGCGGCCCCACTAGACCACCTGCGGAGCATGCAAAAGTCAAGCGAACCGCCCTCCACCAACATGCATGCAGTCAAGATACAACAACGAGGAATCAAGCTCACGGATCAGTCGCTATGTTGCGGCCATCTTCCAGTAAGAATCGCATCTGAGCCCCAGCTTTCACCACATTTTCAGCATAGTAGATGCTGCAGGAGAAGCGGTCTGGAATAGAAGGCATCCTGCGCTCGGCTCGTTGACGTTCCCCAGCTCGGTATAATGCCAAAATTCGGCTCTATGATTTGATTCGATCAAATGCTGCAGTTCAGCGAAGTCCAACACAGGCTTCTCAATGTGTGGAATGTGCTCGATCCGTTGGGCAGGAATCTTCGGTTCTTGTGAGAAGCGAATAAACCTTCGATCACGTCTTCTGAGCCCTCGGTATGAGTGCAACAGCACTCAGACTTTTGTTCTTCACTCCGATGCAGCAGATCCTCGTTCGGACACGATCTCTTCCTCTTGTCATGAACGATTGCATTCTAGGGAATCGGGCGAGGAGATGAACAACGATCGAATGTGGTAGCTACCATCTGAACAGATTACCTGATGCATTTTGAGCGTCTCAGAATCTTCCTTGAAGTCGTGTACATTGTCGGATCCCATGAGAATGATCTATAGATCAGAGGGCAACGATCAAGCAAAGATAGACAAGGAAGTATAGAGTGTCATCCAGATTCCACCCAGACTGGGCATGTCCCAAGACTCCCCGATATTCTTCGTTGTCGCTAGCTGTGGGTCATTTATGGTCGTCAGTTCGAACTCTACATATTTGTACCTCATATCTGTCTTGGAACTGTGATCCAGATAAACATCGTGAAGACTCACTTAGAAGATGTGCCACACGCTGCTTGTAAGCGAGGTTGTGGACTGCCCATCTCTAATCAATCGGCATACATTGATCATGTATACAAAGCAGGCGTTGGCCTGTTGTAATCAAACTCTACTCTAGTCCAAGGTCTACACCCCTCCATCATTTCCAACGCCAAGACAACACTTTTCCTTTCTACCTGATGCACTGAGTAGAACTAGTCTGGATGTGTTCAAGTTTGGTTTCATTCAACGCAGAGAGCTGGATGCAATAATCACTTACATCCTTTGATTTATCTATGAAAAGTATATAAAGAACAAATGAGACTTGTATCGCATGATTCCCCTTTGCATCATGACTGTGGGCATGATGCCAAGAGTAGGCGACCTACATCTGTTTTTGGTTCTTGGAATAAAGTTCTATCAACTGGACAGGGTTATAAGCTGTCGAGTCGACAGAGTCTCCAAGGCCAGAACTTTTAACATGAATAGCTCAATCACCCTTGCCAATAATTCAGTGTTTATCTTGATTAGTTGCAGCGGAGTGCAGAAGGGATCGTTTTTTTAAGTAAGATCATTTATTATTTAGCTTTGTTCGACTTTAATATTTCTAATTGCTTGTCTCTATGATGTACATCTCTTATTATTATTTCTTTTATTCATCATGTTTATTCTATATTATTATAAATTCTCATGTGGTGGCCAATCAAATTTGGTTACAAGGGTGGAGTAGTGCATGACATTCTAGGCTCTCAATACAATTTATTGATTCGTATCATTCTTCTGGGAAGAGAAATTCTCAATAATCTTTTTTGGAATTTGATAATAATCTGTTCACCTTGGCTCTAGCTAGAGCAATATTGGATCTAGTGCACACTATCTAATACATAAGAATATACATTATTTTGTCAAAGGAACTGAATACATCATTTCTTTCTTAGTTGATTCAATTAAATATAGAGTTGTTAAGAGCTTGAATTGTGCTATTAAAGAAATCCAAAGTCCTTTTGAATTTAAATAATTGAACACATTGAAATTAATCATAATTTTTTCTTCTTCAAGCTGTTTTGACATGACTCAAGGAAATTATTCTATCATATAATAGCATTACGTTGATAAAAAGTTTACATACATGTTTCAAGAAGTTGAAACACAAGAAAACACGAGGTATGTGGTTTGCCCTAGCCATGATATGTGCATTGAGCATGCAAAATCATTTCATAAAATTCTGAATTGTGTCAATGATAGATACGACCAGCTCTTTAATAGAGTGGCAGCTTAATTGTCTAACTAACAATGATCAACTAGCAAGAGTTAACTCATACTTAAATTGACTTCTCCAAATTCTCCCTTTACTGAAATATTGGAGATTATAAATTCTAAAAATTATATAATTACTTTGAGGGAAATTTTAGACCAAAATCTATCGAAAGTCTTATACTAAAAAATGACTAGAACTAAATTCTAGCCAAAATATGATAGAATAAAATCATATACGGAGATAATGTAATTCGTACTTTACTCCACTTGTACTGATGTACATTATTTGCAATGTGACATCATGTCTAAAAAACTCTTAAAAAACATTTTTAGTAAAGAAAATTGGGTTTAGTCTCAATTTTGAATAAGTCAATGTATATGATCAAATCATACACATATATAAATGATCCAAATGAAGTAAGAATTATTTTATCTGACATGTCACTATGGAAAAAATTGGTATGTAATCTAGATCTACTTTTTTCTAGTCCCCATTACATGGAATGTAATGGAGAGTTGTTAAATCACAAGACTAACAAGAATGCTCATATACGTATATTTCACATATGCGAATATACGGGGCCAATTCAAGATGCTTGAAGCAAGGTTATAGACAATTTAGAATAGTGAACGCTACTCATGGAAGCATCTACCTGACAACTTAAGCAATAATATCATAGTCGTAAGTTGTGGTATCTCACATGTGGAAAGTACAGCATAGGTTAGAACGAATGTGGTGTACTGACTTTCCAGTTGAGAAAGGGCATTGGGTCACGATATTAGCTACGAGAAATAATGAACGGTAAATTTTGGCAAGAATAAAAAACCAACTTAGAGTATCCTGATTTTTTTTCTGGATTAATTTTTTTGAGCTCACATGACCAGATAAGCTCTTCATAGAGTGCATTCTCCACATGGGATACAAAATTTTGGGAGTGAAAATTCCACAGAAAAGTCCACCCCAAAGAAGACTCCGAGAATTTGCTCCACTTGTCATGTGCCTTCTTCCAGTAAGATATTAGCACATGGTGCAGAAATAGCCCATATTCACAGTGTCAATGAAAGGGCTTCTCGCATCCTTAATTGCAACTATGACTGCATGCATGCAGATCTCATTTCATCTTATTTTTTTAAGGACAGATATTTTTAGGACTTTATTTTCGCGTTGGTGACAGGAGGCCCTCGTTTCGCATCGAGGACATTTGACTGCAGAAAGTCTCGCAAGTTCACTTTGGCAGGTGCAACAAACCAAAATCAAAAGGGCCCGGAACCACGTCACGTCTCAGCCAGCGATGACGCATTGTTTCATGCTGTGCGATCCATGAGTGTTTCATGACTCTGAACTTTGTGAGCTGCTCGCACAGACTGCCCATCTTCTCACTCTCTCAGCTGCTGCTGCTGCTGCTGCTGCACTCATGATGAGCTCCTGCATCGGAGGCCATTGATGGGTCTGGTCTGATGGTCGGGCATATGGAGACGGTGGTTGAATCGAATTGAATGAGCTGCTGCCCCTCGCGTTGTGGTCGATTTTTCGACCGCAAGAGATCTCTGCGATCGAATTAGAGCTCTCTGCAGTGATTTACGTGTCAGTGCCGATCCGGCGAAGGGGTGCAGAGAGGATGGGGGGCGTTCATACGCCGAGCCAAGCGCCGCCAGGCATGGGCGAACCGGTGCTCACTGAGAGAGAGAGAGAGAGAGAGAGAGAGAGAGAGAGAGAGTACATTGATTTGCGGCCTGGGCCGAGGAATTCATGGCCGTGGAGGCAAGACAGACGTCGGTCGGTGTTCAGATGTTCCCCAGGGTGTTGCAGGCACGCGCGACCTTCAGATCGACACGAAAGTGAGTGAGTGGGTGGGTGAGGGAGAGGAGAGCTACCGAGTCCTACTACACACGATCATTGCGCTTCGGTGATTTCATTCAGTGCAGTGCAGTGCAGTGCAGCATGGTTGGCACATTTCGTGAATGCCTTCGAATCTATCGGCTGCTAGAGGACATGCATGCTATGACTTTCAGAGAGTCTTATCTTGCCGAGAGACTTAGCACATCGCTCAGATTCGTGCCCGACAAAGCGTCCGTGCAGTCCGTCGTCGCGGCAGCAGCAGACCGCTGCCACCTCCACCTTTCTGCCGAGGCACGGGGAAATGGCAAGGGCAAGCATCCTGTGGGGGTTTAGAAGCGAGCAACATTCGTTTGTGCTGATTCTTCCGTGCTCATTCGTGTGTACAGAACCCGAGAAACGATTCCCTAACATCAGAGCATCGATTAACTCCAACATGGCAAGATTTAACATCTCCTAAATTTCCGATCCACCGGCGGCTGATTACGAGATTCGAGCTTTATCCCAAACAAATAAGGTCCACTGCCTTCGTCTCCTTCGTCCTGTTTGGGCCTTGTTTGGCAGCCGATACTTAGCCAGACATAATCTCCGATATCAAGCACAGCAACACGATCGAGATCGGTTGTCGAAACGATGGGGAATTGCTGTGAGAAGATACCAATACTGAATAAGGTGGGGGCATTTTTTAGCGCTGTCGGCGGAGGAGTCTCGAAGCTCTTCCGGAAGAACAAAGGACCGAAGAAAAAGAGGCCACCGTCTAAAAGTATTCTGGCCATGATTAAGTTCCCATTCGGAAATTATGACTCTTCCGATCCGCAGGCAGCCATAGCTGGCGCTGTAGCAGCTGCGAATGCAAGGCCCACATCCGGTTGATGATGTGGACCGTCTCGTCAAGACCAGCTCTTCGATCGGGGACTGGAAATCTTGCTCAACTGATCAGATCTGATCAGAATGATGTTCAGAAGCGTCTGGACACTTTCAGGGCCAAGATGAGCCTTGTGCAGGAGTGAGTGAAGCAATCGCTCAGTAGGTGCTGCAAGGCGTGCGGATTTGAGGGAAGGGAAGGTCAAAGTTCGTGTTCTGACAGGAATCATTCCAGTCGGGACGAGTTTCTTCAAGCAGCCGGAGAAGTTCTCCGGCTTCTGACATAATTACAATATACAGGTCTTGTATACATCGATCGCTTAATATGACATTTTGATTATGTGGCTCACCGGGAGGTTTGCCTGTCAGATCGTAAGGCGCTTCACACGAATTTCGAAGCTCTACTAGGACTTGACCACCGTGGTCTCATTTAGTAAACCCAAAAGTCCGATATGCAGATGATTCTGCCAATGCCAGCAGCATTGATTAGTTCAAGAGCTGGAAATCCCGATTCCACGAATATGATGCAAGGACACAACAGGTTCAGGACAGATCTGAAGCACATCAACACCTCGAACTAAATTAGTCATCAGAGGTGACATGTTGCGAAGACTTGGCACCGCTCATCGAGATGCGAAGGTCTTGACCCAGTCGGTCGATTCAGGTTTGACAATTCGAGTTTGCTGTGGTTGGAAAGGTAACTTTAAGGTCTCCATGAATCAAGAGATGCTTTCTGTAAAGTATCTCCAAGCCTACAAAGGCACCACCGGGAGGAGCAATAAATACTCAGCTCGAAAACGATTCGCTTTCTAGCAGACGCATCCGATCTGCAATCTCTTGTGAGATATTGTGAGAGTGTATACTTTATGCACGCCAAACTTCCTTCCAGGCTGGCGATAGGCCTGCAATATTGCATCCATGTGAATCGAACTCGTCTCGAGCTCCCCAAAGTCCAAAATGATTCGCGATCACCACACTGTGATAGATGTATCAGACTGAAGTAAAAATGTTTCAGCAAATCCGTAGCCTCATGCTCGAGCCCGTCACGCCCTCGACAAAGATCAGAGGAAGCCGTAACGGCCTGGCTTGACAGTGTTTCACGAAAGTCGTAGCCTCATGCTCGAAACAGCAATCCATTCGACGAACATCGAACGTAGTTGGTGAGATGAGAACGTACGTGAGTAGGAGTCTTTCGATTGCCCCATGTGGTCGTCGAATTATTCCAATCTGCTCAGTTTAGCCTTGCAAAGTCCATTCAAGCAATTACTGAAACTGTATATACGAAGTTTGGAGCGAGTTTCAATAATTTGGGTTCATTTACAACATCGTTTGGGCATATTCCGCACAAAGTCATGTCCAAAAGCTTGAGAGGCCTTCACGCCCAACAGACCAAACAGACCTTGTGGCGGTGGACTTTGAATGGCATATACGTCTCTCTGATCATGGCTTCTGTTTCATTCTATCTCTTCTGATCCGAATACATGATCTGAAATATCATTGTGGCTTTCAGTTGCAAATCCATGATCTCAAAGGTGGTCAGCAACCATTATGGTCTCATGACACTGTTTGGCGTTTGTCTCATAACACACGCAATTTTCGAGCTTCGATGGGCACTTTGGTATCAATCATGTTTTGCAGGCAGGTCCAGCGTAGATGTAGAGCAAATCACCTTCATGCCGGCTGTTGGTGAAGTACATGTGGGTCCGCAGAGACAGGAGGCTTATCCTGTTCTGGAGTTGGGGTCCTATGCAGCCGGATGCAGCAGAGGGCCCCTTCAAGGAAAACAAATTTAGATACGAGGTCCATGCCATGACCGAAAATGAAGACCCTGGAGCTCATGAAACGCATAAGATATCATGCGAGAAGCCATTGTAGCTTAGCTGGTGCTACACTGCTCACGTCAGGTCGTGTGACGGGTACTCGGATTAGAAGCTGAACCAGCACGTTTATATAGTGCCATCGTAATCAAGGGCACTCGGACCTCCTCATTTCGTTGCCGAGAGTCAAAGGCCTTCCAGCAGGGAAGAAAGAGAATGTAGGCAAGAACCTCGCTCGTCCCCATCATGTCACGCTCCTGCGTACTGTGCTCCAGCTAATGCCATTGTGGTACGACACAAATACAATAGAGCCTCTATTACTGAACTCGGAGCTTTTCTAGCGTAAAGTTCGAAATTGGGACACTCGCAGGAAGAAAAATAATTCTCCCAACCGAATTGGCCACCTTATGGCTACCTTGTGGTTGCGTCGACACAAAATATCTGAAGCTAATGAATCAGCGATATAATTGGTTCACTGCCGAGTCTGTCATTAATGATTGAGAGTGAGAGCAGAAACAAGGATTTAAAATAGTGCCGCAGTTTCAAGACTTGACATAGTCTAGAAAATTGTAAATCATTAGGCTTAAATATGGCAACTCAAGCTCTGGGTATGGCTCCTGATTATGAGCACTCAGAGTTTATTTCAACGGAGACGATGATTGTGAGGAGAATAAAGACATGGTTGGACTTTCCGGGTTACGAATCTGAATGCGCAAAGGTCTTCCGTGCACGCTGTACGGGAGACAACGCCATTCGTCTGTGAACGGCCTCTCCCTTCTTCGCCGACAGAGAAAATTCCTGATACGATAAAATAATAATTCGGAACGCTCTTTGCGGAGAAGTCCTTGTACAGCCCCCAATCGTGAGAGTTTTCGCCCATGGAGAATTCGCAGATGCGGCAAGCGAGGGCGCAGTTTCTAAGGGTCATAAATCTCGTCAAAGCCCCCACAGTGACGCCAAGTTTGACCAGCTTCACGACCGACGCAAAGCCGCACGGAGGAAAAAAAAACGGGGAAAAAATTCCTTCATCTCCAGCACTAACTCCAGAATGGCTGCCACAAATCATGAGCTCATGGGATTCCAAGCTCATGTTCCAAGGATCCCAAGGATCCCACTCCGGATCCGTGCCCTCAGCTACGTTGGAAACATCTGAACTCCGAGCCCTCGGAATCTGAACTCCTGATCTCGCGCACCATGCACGCGAATTGCTCCGACCTTCAGCGGGAGGTCAAGTGGACCTTATGTCTGCCAGGACTTGTGCGACCTCCAAGCCCGTGACCGGATCGCTCGAAGGTGATCAGAGGGCAGCGGGCAGACGAGGGAGTCGGGGATTTCTGATCTTGCAGCTGCGGGTCGTGGTGATCGGCGTCACATGCACATCCGGCAACGTGGGAGCATCGTCAGCTGCGCATGGCGGGGACGCGAAATCTCTCTCACAGTGCGGGGCAGATACTTGGCAGGGAGGGGAGGTGCAGGCAGGCAGGCAGGCAGGCAGCCTTGGGAGGTCGAATCCGGGGCTCCAGGGCCGGATTGATAGATAGATAGAGCGAGAGCAGCAATCCCAATTTGCGACTCGGTAGACCTTTTCTAAGCTCGAACTGCGGCTGCGAAGAGCGCAGGTGGCAGCATGATAGCGGAGTCGGGCTCACGCTCGCCCGCAAGCGAAGGAGGGGCCTCGCGTGCGGCCTGCGAGTGAGTCGACCGCTGCTGCTGCTGCTGCTGCTGCGACGAATTCCTCGCTCGGATTTGAAAATTCTGTGCATATCTTGAGCGGCCTGCGCAGGCTGCAGGGTCATACTCTCCCCCCCTCGCCTCTCTTCCATCACTTCTCCTGACAGACTGACAGACTCGGCCGCATAGCCAGAGGAGGAGAGCTCCTCCGCTGGCCATCTGCGGTCTCCCTCTCTCTCTCTCGGGAGAAGTCCAGTTTCCAACTTTCTTAAGTACGCCGATAAATCGTTTGTGGCAGGCCATTGTGATGCATGAGATCGTTGGAAATTCTGTCATTCCTCCATCCATTCGTGCGATCGAGAAGCAGAAGAAGAACTCGTCCAAGGTTAAGAAAATCCAGTTTAGTAGATCTGTGAGTAGAATTTAGACAAAACGTACTAATAATCAACGAGGCCATCGGTCGGTCGGTCGGCTTCCTGCAGTGCTGGGATTCATATTAGTAGGACTATAATACCATACGGTTCCAGAGACCGATCTACCGACTGAATGATTCGTCGACTGCTCGTCTTCGAATTCCGAGGTTCACTGGCCAGGTCCACGGGCCTGATCGAGTGCGTGTGAGCCAGCATGGAGTCTCAGGGTGGTGATGGCGGCGGCGGCGGCGGCCTCGCCCAGCAGCAGCAGCAACAACAACATCAGGTAGAAGTAGTAGTGGCAGGAGGGAGTACTGAGAAGCGAAGAGAGCGCAAGAAGGGTGGATCCGGGGGACTGGTATTAGGAATTGCTGCAGTTGTGGTCATCGGGGTTGCTGGCAAATTGCTCCAGAGGTTCAATAGCAGACCCGAAGCTCCTCCATCGCGCGCTATCGTGGCCACAGCAGCACCCGCTTCAGACGCTGAGGAGTCGCTCGATAAGGTGATTGCTGGTGAGAAGCGATCGAGTGACTTGCTGAAAAAGGCCGTCCCGCCCGTGGCCGAGGTCGACACGGACGATCGTGGCTCGCCTCCGATCCAGCCCCCCAGTTCGGTGCACGAGAAGTTCATCGGCTGCGAGACTCCAGTTTTGGTTGAATCCAAAGGCAGGTCGTTCGCTGGCAATGCTGAGATCTCTGACCAGGATTCTTGCAGTGGGGACTCGAGCAGTAGTAGCAGTAATAGCAGTAGTAGCAGCAGTAGTAGTGCTAGTAGTAGTAAGGCTGTGATCCAGGTGAAGCTTCCTCTGGACAAAATCGTTGCAGCTGAAGAGTTCGAAGGTCAGATCATTTCTCCCAAATGTCAGAAGGGCGAATCTGACCTGGCTGCTCAGACTGCTCTGGCAGAATTGGTGCACCAGTCTGTTAGATACGACGTGCCGTCCGACGGAATTATGAAAACAAAAAATCTTCAAGATGACATTGCAGACGTGATATCACGAGCATTCGGAGACTTCGGATGTGGAGAATTGGCCAAGCAGGAGCTGGCGCCCACGCAAGTGACGTTTCAAGTTGTGTGGGAGGAGAAGACAGAGGCAGAGGATGCCGATGTCGCCGATACTGCTGATTCTGAGAACCCAGTGCATTGTGATGCCCAAGATAACTCTGAAGCTTTCACATCCCAGTCGGATTCAGGGTCAGAATCAGAATCAGAATCAGCCAATGCTAGAAATGATTTCCTGGATGCCTGTGACACCGACCCAGCTCTCGCTGGAGATGAGATTGAGATGGAATTTCTCAACGCGGAGGCCCAGATGGAGGAAATCAGGTACTTGAATTCAGGACCTGTGAGTGCCCAGGCAGATCCTGATTATAATTTGACGTCCAGCTCGAATGCCATATACTTTAATTATTGACTTCTTTGACATTTGTTGCAGTTATTTCGTTAGAAAACTGATCCTCAGGGTTTGTGTTGAAAGACTCACTTCTCTATCTATACTTCAGGATAAATCCTGAACTCTCCGAGCCAGAGTGTGAGAACTGGCCTCAAGCGACCACCTCAAACGAGCTCATCATCTCGGCTCCGCGATCTCCTTCGACAGAGGTGAGTTGCAGCTCTGCCTCCGGTCGAAGATGCACTGATTATCTTTATTTCTCTAGTTCGATTCTGCCCGTCATCCAACAGATGCACAACTTCCGTAATGTGAGATCTGACCGCAAGGAAGTTACGCTTTTCCTCACTAGGACGTACACCATTTCGTAGTTGCACACCGAGCAAACTGTGATATGCATTTCGTTAACTTAACAGAAACAGGTGTCCGAGTGAAACGTCAGCTCATCCCATTCACCTTTCACTCGGACACCTGTTTCTGAATTCTGATCAAAAAACAGTTCGTTGTCGAATTTAGATGTATTTCCATCTGAAGCTTTGACTCGTGTGTTGCTTGAGCATCTGCTGGGGGTGGACATTTCTCATTCATATCCCGACTGTCGGACTTGCAAAAAATGGTGTAAATTACTAAGCAGACTACAGCCCAAATGGTCCAGGCATCTAGCATAATCTAAAGTCGTCGTTTATCAGCGTTTTCAATCTATGCTCATAACTCAAATAATACCAATACAGAAGGGTTCATGTCTTCCAGCTACCAAGCTCCTGCATTATTTTGTGCATTCAAGTTGGATCTTCGTCCATCACTCTCTTGAACTGATCCAGTAAAAATTTATCGAATCGAAACGACTTTCCTGTAGAACCTCTACCTCGTGTCTGTTGGAAATTTTCACCGCAAGAAAATCCAGCGCTAATTTTAATTCTTTGTGAAAATTGGGAGTGACTTTGAAGGCAAGTACTTCAGAAGCGGCTCAGCTCCTATTGAGTGGTGCAATTTGGGACCCGGTAGCATGACAGGGCGATCCATTCTTCCATCCTCGCGTGCTAAAGGTGAAACTATAGGAAGGTCGTATGAGCTGACACATATTACAACATGTTTTATTGACGAGAGTTCACTGCAATTGTGGTGTAGATCGAGGCCCAGGCGCCAGAGGACGTCGCTGCCTCGGCGGTTTCCGAGGCACTAGCCAGTCTGTCGACCGTGCCACATTCAGAAGAGGATTTTGAGCCAGCAGATCATGAGTACTACTTCGCTCGTGAAGATTCTTCGCCTGCTCTGGACGAAGCCCAAGAGGATGCCGAAGATGGTGTCGGGGAGTGCGAGGCACTCGAGGAATCCCTCGAGGAAGCCGAAGGCATCGTCAGGGAAGCAGAGATCCCCGCGCGGGAGACTCTCCTAGACGAAGTCAGGCGTGTCGCCATTGCCAGAGCGAAGAACCTGACCGTGGAGGTCAATTCGGAGAGGCCAGAAGACGCAGAAGAAGGAGAGGGAGAAGAGGGAGCAGAGACCGAGTCGCCAACGGAAAGCTTGAAGCAAATGGAGCCTGCAATTCTGGAAAGGTTCGAGGATTTGCTTTGTTCTTCGAATGCTGGCACGACGTCCACACCTTCGAGCAGTGTCGACGCCGAGGATGCAGAGACTGAGACGGACGGGGTGGACGAGGGAGAGGAAGTCAGAGTGGCATCGACATCAGACGAAGAACTCGTGGTGAAGATCACGACACAGATCTTTCCTGCTCGGGAGGAAGGATGCTGTGAGATCACGGCGGAAATCGAAGAAGGAGCTGCAGAGGTCTCCGACCAAAGCAGCGCCGAAGCAGCTCCAGAGTCTGATGACGAAGAATCAGAAGAGGAGGAATCTGAGGATGACACCATTGTGAAGATGGAGTCGTCAGCGGTGCTCGCTTCGAGAATCTACAGTCCTAATAACGCCACCAGAGGCATCAGCAGCGGCAGCAGCAGCAGCAGCAGAGGCAACCTCCGGACGAAGAGCGCAGTAATGACGACCATGGAATTTTCCAGCCCGTCGTTAGCGACGCGCAACGGTGGAAATTTCAAGCAGGAAAGCTCTCGAGACAGGTTCCCGTCAGAGATTCTGAGAATGGCATTCCTCGTTGCCCTCATAGCCGCCATCGTCTTGATGTTGCGCGAGCACATGAAACCTCTCAAGCATACTTCGTGATTCGTAAGAATCGCCATGCTAGCGGGAGTGTTAAAGCTGTCTCCGAACTGTGTGTCAGACAGTCGTGCTGCTGGTGATGGTGATGGTGTGGGATACAAGAACCCAACGGTATCAGCTCGCAGGCAGGCAGGCAGGCAAGCAGGGCAGTCCAAGCCTTCCTTCCTTCCTTCCTTCGGCTCGATCGATGCACTCCTGCCACCATTACACAGTTACAACGACGACGATGACAACGACGAATGTGCCTCATTTTTGCCTCTTCATGCTTGGTTGGGTACTCTGACTCTGCCATGTAAACGACTTTAGTATGCTTCTTCCACATTTTGGTAATTCTTTGGTTAGTCTATAGAGAGAAGGCCATCGAGCAAAAAAGATTTGACACACAAAGTGATCGATCGATCGCCAAAGAAGTATCCAAGACGCACCGAGCTACGTGACGATGGTTTTTCTTCTAAAACTTGTCGCGTAGAGGCGCATCAACAAGTCGATGTACATAATCCTCCCCGTTCCCAATCAATCAGCTAAAATTGTTCCTTGGTGAAGGTGAACGTACGTGTACTACTAACCTTTCGACTGTAGACTGGTCTCGATGACGATGACGATGGATGGCCCCCGCTGTTAGCCTTAAGCGTCTGGCATTCAGAAGTTTGTTTCCCGGTGAGCACAGCGCTTGCCAGACTATAAAATTATATAACATCAAGCTCTTCCGTTCCAGTCAAAGGGATTATTGTCAATTATTGTCACAGCGTCTTCGTCGTACGTGTGAGCTCAAGAGTCGGCAGCAGTACTGCTCGCTCTCACAGTCCCGTCTCAGAGCTGTCATATGCCTCGCCTGCTTGCCTGCTGCAGCTCCTGCACTGCACCTCTGCTGTAGTTCTCTCCGCTGGCCGCCCATCGTGCACGCGTCCAGCGAGCTCAGTGCAGTCGACATTCAGTGTACCGCTACGAGGTTGTGCGAGTTCCGATCCGCATGCTCGTGTTTGAATCGCCGTCGAGCTGACCTGTGCTGTTCATGAATGAAGTCCCCGAGAAGTGCCGAGCGGCTGACTTTCTCCCCATTGATGATGGCTCGACGTACTGGATCAGCTTCATTCGGGCGCCGTTCGTCTCAGCCACTGGATCGCTTACATCACCTCCTGACTTCCGATCGAAATCCTCCTTCAGGTTATGCCAAAAATAATAATCCTGTCTCGCCTCTTCGACTGGCTCTTGACCTCAACCTCCTGGACCTCAACGAGGTTGTGGTCGTTGTCGAGTATCATGTCACCCACATGTACCACATCTGGCGAGGACTACAACCACACAACCCAATCCACCATCTCCCCTACCACCTCCTCCTCCTCTTTCATGTGAAGCGGACCTTGTTGGCGGGATTCGTCAGTGGATGCAGTAAACTGAATAATGCCTTTGTCTCGCTGCCTCGACGCCTTCTCATTCATTCAGCGAGTCCCTACCACCAGCACCAACTCTGGCTTCCGAGGCATGGATATACTGGAGCATCAAGGTTTTGGTCGCAGCAGCACTCGCAGGAATGTCGCCTGACTGAACTGAACCTTCGCCCCTATCAGAAAGAACCAGGTGGGGTAGAGGTATCCAGGTTTTTTAGCAGATACTTGAAGCTAGTGCTGTTTTACATACGATGGCCATTTCTGGGCGATGGAATTAGGTACAACCGCCGGTCAGACGTGTTGAGGAACCTCGGTGCCATGCAAAATGAGCATCACCGCTTGGAAGGCGGATGGATCTCTGAATGGAGCCAAACATGAGAAGTCGAACGAGGTTGTATATTATACCGTTAAATATTATACTCAAGTAGATCTAACATGCTGGCGATGGTGCCGATCTGAGTAGTAGCTCGGGCTCGTCTTATACGAGCAGCAACATACGGGAAGGTTCTTGGACCTGTGATTAATGAAATCGGTGCGATTGTCTGTCACATGCAAAAGCCTGCAGATCGAGTAGACGACGAACGACTCCTCTCCCTCGTCGAGCTTCCTGTCTGTCCCACTTGCGGCTGTGTGCACACAGAGTTAAGCGCCGGAGGTACGTCTCCAGCCATGACGGACGACGAGTCTCTCTCTACTGAAGAAGTATATGGGCCGATCGTAGAAGAAATGGCTGTCACCCGTGTCAGCGATTGAAAGTGTGACGTCGGTGTGCGAATCAGCGGCCTCGACAGATGCCATATTTATAAGCCAAGTCATCAGCCTGGTTGGAAGAAACAGCAACAGTTGAGGTGTGTGTGAGCCTGCGCTACGCTAACACAATGCATGCGCTCTCCGGCGGAATTACAAAAAACATATGTCAGTGCTCACGACGACTGTCAGTGGCCACAAAGGTTCTAGGCAAGCAAACATGTCCATTAGCTGCACGCCGTTGTTGTTGCATATTATCCCCTCGGTACGAACGGTTTCAAAAGGTGGTGCTGGTGAAAAGGTTCAGAGATTATCAGCCAGCCCTCCAAGTGGTTGTCAGTCGGTCGATCATGGCGTTTTTGGCCGTCTTGTGACGGATTGCATGGTGTGCTGCTTATCGTGTAGTTTATTAGACTGACCTCGGTAAGAGTGAGAGCCTGCCAGAGCCCATGGATGCGTTTGGCGAGTCTGACGAGATCAATAATGCCGTCATTTCGTGTAAATGTGGATCTCAACGTGGTGAAGGAGGGAGGCGCTGGCTGGCTGGCTCGAACCAAAACCTTCTCGTCTGTCTGGCTCGGGTCTCAGACAGACAGATCTGTGCAGTGCGGTCGCCTTACGCACGGCTGTTGTTGTTTTCGTTGGTGTTGGTGTTGTCAAGAGCAGGGGGTTCATTTAAGGGCCCTCCCTCATACTTCGCCGATGACGATTCGCCGGAGAGAATCTTCGCGGTGTGTGACATAACTGTCCGACGTGCTGTCTCCACAATTTGAGACATGCATCGCGGAGAGACAGATGTGCTCGATGGCAACAGTCCGATTAGTTACAGACGCACAACAGAACCCTCTCGCTCGCCTCGGCCCCCACTCAGCTCAGCTCAGCACAAGAAGACGAGCCCTCGCAAGCTCGGAACATGAGCAAATGATTGACTCGTGAGATATACTTCGAGAGCACAAAATCGCTTGTCTTCGAATACGGAGAACTCGTCCAGATCCGCAATTGCGTATGACCTCGAAGCCGTGACAGCTTCCGTCAGGTGAATTAACTAACAGCAGTCATTCTTAAACTTGGCTGGGGGGCGAGTGCGCAAATCTTCGAACCGAGCGCCACAGGCCTTGTTGTGATCTCATTCTTATGCGATAATAATCCGTCTCGAAAAGGCTCACCGGGAGGCCCTGCTTCGATTCGTAGCTTCGATTCGTGTCGAAATCTAGACCCCGAACCGCAAAGATTCGACCTTTGAAGCGTATTAATATCTGGTCCAAAGCGACCCAGATCTAGGCATCAAACATGACGTCGGCTGGCGTCAGCCCCCGGGGCCTGTGGAAGAGTGTGCAGCGAGAGAGAAGCTCCACCTGTTGCAGCAGCAAGGACCTTTTACCACGCACCTGCAAATACTGGCAACAGCAACCTCGCCCCTCCCTTCACGCACACTGCGTGAATCGAAGCCCATGTCAAGTCACAGTGGTGGCGATCCCACAGCGCCAATTGCACACGGAGGAAAAACAGAAAATGGGCACCGCGCATAGTTTACAGCGAATCGCTCCGTGTCGTTTCCCGAGCGTTTCATGTGCTCGCTAACTCAGACCTTGATGTCACACAGCGTCGTCGCAACTATCGAAGCTTTTACTCGCTGCTGCTGCGATGTGGGCCCGCGGGCTCAGCCAGCCAGCCAGCCAGCCAGCCAGCCAGCCAGCCGGCGATGGGATCCACAAATTCGAAAGCCTCGCGCTTCTGCGAGAGCTGCGAGATCCACCTCGCCGTTCGATCCGTCTGCCGCTCTCGCCCGGGGCCGTCAATCGGCATGTTCCCTAGATCCTCTCCTCTCTGCCTGACGAAGAACAACGCCGGCTCGGAATCTCATGTCCTCTCCTCCTCCGTGAGCTGCAATTCCGAAGCAGCGAGCGAGTAACGGAATGGCTTGCAAATCGCTCCACGGCGGCCCCGAGGAGGGCGCGCAAAATGACAGACGGTTTGAGAATTCTCGTTTCTCCTCCTCCTCCACGTGCATTGTCGATGGCGGCCCTTTGGCTCGCCGGGCAGCGCATGGATGACGAGCCTCGACTTGTCGTCTTGTCGACGTTTGGCTACGTAATGGCCTCTGTCACACCGGACTGCCCCCCCACTGTTCCTTCGCTCGCTCGGTAGACCCCACCTCCCCCGAGCCTCTCCCGCATCGACCATCGCCAATCCGCCCGCCCTCGCGCTCCCTTCCATCCATGCCCATCGCCCGCGAGCAGGCCGGAAATCCCGTCGGGACCATTCGGACGACAGCTGCAGCTGCAGCAGCTGAATATTAATCCTGCTTTTTTTACTTTCGAAGACCTTTTTGGGGAACTGGATGTCGGTCCGATGATCTGTTGGAGGTCCGAGAGGCAGAGCAGTTGCATTCGTTTGCGGAGAAGAGAGAACGAGGAGAGGATGCGTTCTTCCGCGTGGTCGACCTTCGAAGGTCCGACATTTAGCACTCCTACAATACGAAGCGGGAGCTGGGGATCGATTCGTCCGATCGTCGTCTCGGGCTTCAAGTGGGCTGGCTGGGCATTGTAAATTATGGCGGAAGTTGTTACAGTCGCCCTAGCGAGTTCGCCATCCAACAAGAGATAGTCGGCTCTCGTTGGCATTTCTTTCTTACCTGGAGCTTGTGCCCCACACACTCATCCACCTGACTTTCGTCAATTGTCCCGATCGCCCACAGAGCTGTCAGCTCAGCTCTGTGGGTCCGTCCAGTTGCGAGACAGGAATCTTCGACCACGGGGAAAGGTAGAGATCCATCCCCGAGATGGACCTCCGAAGTATTCACGTCCAATCCTTTAGCTTCCTTTCCCTCATTACTTCCTTCGGCCTATCCACGACGCCGGTGCAAATTCTGATGCAAATTAAGGGGCAATCCAGATTGCGCTCAATTTCTCCGTTCGCAGGCCGATCCCGTTGGCGAGAATGTGGCCAGATTCGTTAGATAATGATGGCACGTTCACAAGGCCCCCTCCACTGACCTTCCAGAGGTCTCACTCACGTCGGAGGTCTTAATGAAGGAATCTTCTGGCGGAGATTCCTTTTACCTGGAAGATGCTTCGTGCTGTACTGGCGGAAGTCGTCCCCGGATATGGATATACCCGAGCGCTCCATGGAATGGGCTTGCCGGTGAGAATGTGAACATCTCTGGGCTGTACCTTCAGTAATTCTATTTGTCTGCACACCTGGAAGTCACTTTTCTCCCGTGGACCTTGTACAGCCCGTTCCCCGGGGGCATTCACGTGGGGACTACAGCAGTACAGTACTATCCTGCCGGGAGCTACGCCCCAGTACATGCACTTCTCGACGCGAGGCTACATGACCGTGGAGTCTGGCTGCTCGCACTGTTGGCCCTTAGGAGCCTACATATTTTCCCAAAAAAAGAAAAATGTAATAAGATAACAAAATATGCTCGTTTCGCCACTTTAAATAAACCACGCAAGGTTAGGTGTATGCTGTTCTCAGTGAAAAGGGCCATAAATATCTGCAAGTGGTATGGTTCTGGATATTTTTGTATCTATACTGTACTTCTCAGTCACGAGAGGTATAGATACGATGCGATGTATCTATATTCCAACTATCTCAATTGTGGATTGGTGGTCTATAAGATTACGGTCCTCGAGTTTCAAATCCGCATAGATATTATTAAGCAAATCTATGAGAGAGACGAGGGGCTCTCTTCACACAAGTAAGAGATTTTTATCTGTGAAAGCCTTTTCCAATTGAAAAGAAACCGTAAGACCCCATCCAGCCATACAAAACAGTAGAGGAGGATGGAGCTTGCTTCCAATATAAGAAGAAGAATTATCATAGATGAGGTTATAAGACTATTTCAGCACTACATGAAGAAGATGAAATATATTATATATGTTTACTATATGTTTATGAAATATGTTTATATATGTTATATGTTTACCTGTTTATTTGAGAGCTCCACAAGCGATACATATATACACAACAATAGGATTTGCAGCATATTATACAAGTTGTACCATCTTTGTATTCATGCTCTGTTGATCCTCGTAAAATCCATAGTGTATGAATCAATAAGTTGATTTATTGTATGCTCTTGTTATTAAAGATAATTGATAATGTTAGATATACTAGTTTATATGTCTCATTATAATTTATTTGGACACAAAATTTTTACTTTTGATCTGAGTCATTCAGTAATTTATAAGGTATTTTGATTTTTTATGCATTTATTTGAATCCATTAGTTATATTTAAGGTGATCTCATTCTTGGACTATCCCCACTTTCATGATGACTTTTGTCATCTTATCAAACATCTTCATACAACACACACTTTTTAAAAATACATATAATAACTTGTGAGCTGAATTCTTCACCTTAAACTTAAGGTTTATACTCCCAGAATATTATTCCATGAAGAGTATGGAAAAAAAAAACCCTCAACTGCATCAGATTTTCTGGATTCATCATCAATCTGTATCTTGCAATGGATAAATCCAAACTGGATTCATAAATATACATAAGGTATAATTGTATCATTTCTAGTCTTTTTTAATTCATACATTATACATTTCATCTCAAAAAAAGACTGAATGATATATTTTGAAAATGCTTAGCATTTAAATTTAATTTTATTTCAACATCCTTAAAGTTTCTTCATGTTGATTTTTATTTTATCCGTTTACTTATTTATCCGTTTTTTCACAAACTAAAGAAAATAGAGCATTTTCTATTTCATAAAAAAAAATTATTTTTTGAATCTTAAAAGCCTGGTCCGCGCAATTTTTACTTTATTAAAAGTAAAATACTTATTTTTTAATTTTTTTTGTAAAATAAGCTTTTTAGTAAGAGCGCAAAGGGCCCGACCCAAGGGAAGTCGTTCGGGCTCCTTTGGCGTTGGCTTAACCTTCAACTCCCAGGGCCGCTGAAAAAATGCGTAGGAAGGGCCGAAGGAGCCGACCGAGTCAAGGTGCCACTATCGTCCTGCAGCGAAGAGCCCGACGACAGCCTTTCGGAGCCGCACGAAAAATAAATGTACATATTTTTTTTTGGTCTCTCCCGTGGGGTGGCCCTTTGGCATATACCAAACTTATTTGAATTTATTAAGTTAATATTAGAAAAAAAAATCTCTCAGATATGGGCTTACATTCAACATATTCTTACTTAATCAAAAACTTGATTAGATCAAAACTTATGGATTTTTATCAAAAAATATGAATTTCTAATATTTATTTTGCAATACTTTTTATTACTCCATAATCTATTATGGTGCAACTTTATTTGGATCGCATTAGATACTCTAGCCCTATTAATACAATTTTAATCATATAATTTTTTCAATGATGAATAATATAGTAAATCAATTTTTCAAATCTCTTTTACCACAAACATAATACATTTCAAATGAAAAGCCTTTCATTTATTTTCTTGTGTATGAAATTTCAGTACATAATATAAGTTTTGATAAAAATTGCAGTTCAAAAATATTATCATCAAATTGATGTTTGGTATTTCTATGAAGCAGTTTTATTATGTATACAAGTTTTAAGCGTTCTTTGTATAATTAAAAAATTATGCAATCTATTAATAAATTTTCTTTTAAAAAAAACATGAATTTATAAAAAATTTAATTTATAATTTTTTTTTCAATATCTACAAAAATTGGAAAGAAAAATGATTTTTTCTGGCTTTTTACTTAAAAAAACAATAATTATTTATCTAATTTGTAAAAATTTTATATCTTTGAAACCATTTTAAACATTCTACTTTTAAATTTCAATTTTTTCTCACAAAGGATTAAAATATTTTTTAAATCTAGAAAATTAAGTAATGACAGCATCGGCTTATATTTTTTTAATGTTAATAAATTTTGAAATGAATGTATATAAGTAAAAAAAAACTAGCTGATATAAAATTTATTATTTAGATAGAAAATGTGCATCATTATGCTCCAAAATAATATATTTAAAATTATGAATTAATAATTTGGTCATAGAAGTTCATGTCTTGCTGCATAGAAATTTCATGTAAATAGGATTTTTATTGTGATCAGTTATGATCGTGGTGAAGATATATTTTTTATCATAGATGCATCGAATTTTATAAAAAAAATATTTTTGCCTTCTAGAGGTAACTTATGTTGGCTCTAATATTTGATTTTTAAATAATTGTCAAACATTATTTTAGCAACCAATTCATGTAAAGACGTAATATCAATGACGATGGAGTGATGATTTCAGCATGTTTTCCTTTATCGAATGGGATTATTTTTTGAATAATATAGCACATCTACACATTAATCATATCAAGATTTTAAGATCATGAACCGTGGTCTGAGCATACATGAAAACTTTTTTCTACTCTCATCATTTTTTTCATAGATGTGTTTTGATACATCTACTATTTACTACCGTTGCTTTGTTCATTCGATAAGCATAGCGTTGATGTATATAATGATATTACGAATATAAGTAGTTATAGTTGGGAAATTATTTTTTTTCTAAATTAATGGAAATTTTTATCTGAAAAAAATCTTTTTTTTTTCCTTCAAAAATTGTGCTTATATTGATTATTAATTTCTTAAATAAAAAATTTATTAAAAAATGCACAATAAAAAAATTTAGAGAAAGATTGCTCTCATGAGTTTGGATAATATAGATGTATTATGACATATTTATATTTTGAAAGAAATTTGACTAGTCCATCTACCCCTTGCTTCATCCTTGATTGTGTATTTCCATTAAATTTGGTATAATATTTCGTTGGTCTTTTCCAACGAAAAGAAGGTAGAACGTGCATTACCAAGAGGATGGAGAGACCTCATCCAAGAGAGAGAATGAGCAGGAAGGGAGCCATTAAGCAAAACCACACTCAGACGCAGTGAAAATATGGGATAAAAAATTGAAAAAGTCGCGACTTTGTGACAGGTTTCTTTCAGAACGAGGGAATCTAGAGTCCAATATATTCGATATTGCACGTCCCATCAATGTAAACCGAAAACGTATCATCTTTAATCCTACAGGAACAAAACTTGGATAAATTCTTCTTCAATAAATTCACGAACGAAAAGCACTGTAATATAAATAGATCTATGTTCACTTTGTAAATTTTAACAACTTTTTACAGCTCAAAGTTTTTTTAGCACGTTCTCGTGAATATTAAATGCCTCCCGCAATAAGCCGTTTGGATAGCACATTCTTTAATAGTAAACAGATTTATCACTTAAATACAGTTTATAAAAGACTAAGAGATCATGGTGAAATTTATGGTTAGGGTGTGTCCCTTCGATTAATTGAGAAGCTTGCACAAAGTATATCTTGATACTTAAATCTTTGTTTAGTCAATATTCCCTATTAAGTACTAATGGAATGGCGTCTTGCATCTATCTATATATCCGTAATGAGTATGTGGCCTTCAATAGTGTCGAACTAGATAAACTTTGCATACGGTGGCGGTCTCTTAATTACCGAATTGTACAAATAATGTAATGGCTACAACCTTGTCTGCATCGCACGAGAAGAATATAAGCATTGTGCGACAACGTCATCCACCGTCTTGAGCTTGCTTGCTTGGAAAGAGCGTTCGTTATTTTCATTCGAAGAGGATGACTTTTCACCCAGCACTTATTGTAGTGCTTTCTAGCAGTGTTGAAGATTAAATGACCTGACAGTAAGGTTCATACTACTCATAGCGCGTAGAAAATTTCTTACGCGCTATGAGGAGTATGAAACATGTCTCGCTCAAATTTTTATTATATTGCAAATATGATTGCACGATTCTCCCTAATTATCATTCCACATCCTCCCCCGGGGAAAATGCCTACATATTAGAGTCCGGATAATATCGACTCATTTTGTTTATGTTCGTAAAGTTGGCTTCCAATGAATGATATTTGAAGCTTTATGTAACCGTTTAATAATAATCGATAATAATCGATAATCGTTTAATCGTTTTGGTGTAGAGTTCGGTATCCGAAGAAATTCAACTTTTCTCTTTTCAATTGCGACATAACACATTATAGATACAGAGCCAATTACGATTATACATCCTTAGAACATTGATGATGGTCATACTAAGATTCAGCAGGGTTCTTTGAGTATTTCTTGAAAATCAAGAAGCGTTTTCAAAGGTTCAATAAGATTTCAAGAGGAAAAATGTTTACTCTCAAATATTTCCATGACATAATCCAAATTTTTTCACATGATACCATAGGATTATGAGATTGATGCAATAATACACAATGACTAGATTCAAAATCTTGTACATGTGATTTTGAAAAGATTGCTCAATTATTCATAGATTTTTTTAACATATTGATTTAAAAAATGTTATCAAAATATATTTTACATATATGAGCAATGCACTGACGTAGGTATTTATTTTTAGAAAAATTGGAAACTGTTTGTAAGATAAATAAAGTGTACATGCTCAGATAATTCGACCCTCCTGGAGACATTTCTCTGTACATGCATCCATTCTTCATTTTCATCCCCCCCCCCCCCCCCCCACTTTGTCAGTGACCTTGAGTACCTGACAAATGACCTTTCCGGGCTTCTCTTCTTTTGAGGAGGTGCTTCAATTTTTCTCTTTTGCACTAGTGAAAAGACTCTCAGGCTGCAGTCTAATAAGAGGGCAAAGTCAGTCTTCAAGACGGAGGCAACCCAGGTGATAATAAGGAGCTCTCAATGCTCGCAAGAGCGGTCTCTCCCATCGTTTCTGACATCGTCGAAAGGTATGTTTCGTCTTATTGAATGTTGGTTCGTCGGTTCGTCGGTTCCTTGACCTTTTCCTACTTCGATTCTAAAACATGTCGATAACGAGATGGCATTTCACTTTCACGCAGGAGGAGGGTCGTCCCCGTCTTTGGAATACATCGAAAATGGCCGATCGCATTTCGTGTATCTAGACAATTCCAGTGACTTCATCCTTTTTGTCAAATGCACCGTTCGAAATATATACTGACTCCTTTGGAATCCCAGGATCGAGATAAGAACATGATCTTTAGATGCGGTCCAAACTGGACGTACAATTTCACGTCATGCCTCTATAAGGTCAAAGGTGCACTGACGGGGATCGTTATGAAGTGTCATACCAGTTTCATGTCGATCTAACTTCAGCCAAATATACGTCTTGTACTGTCAAAGAGACAAACAATGAGGTAAACAACCATGTCAAGGTCAATGCCCACTACTGTTGGAAAATTGTTTGAGTGATGGCGTCCGTGCTGTTCTGCACAAGTGTTTAGAATTCAGAGGCCGTAATCTTTACTTCGCGAAGCTGAGTTGAAAAATCACCGCCTTTCTTCAAGATGCTCGAATCTTTGATTGTCGTTCGTTCAGTGGAGTTTAGTCGAATGTTGCAAGTCGAATCGAATTGTCCACCTTGTGTAACTTACACGCCTCTTTTATGCTCGTACGACTCAAGAACTACATTTTAAATGGCTCGGTAAGACTTCGAAGGTGTCGATGGGACAATGTTCATGGGACTCGAAGAAACCCAAGTAGCAAACCGCGCATGATCAAGGTGAACGTAACTGCGGAGACCGGAATAAGCCTGTTGTTCGGGGAATAAGCTGGAAATCAATGGTTCCACAAAAGAGGGCGTCCCCCACTCTCCATGAAGTGCAAGTGATCATTGACACTTTTCAGAGCAGCGATTGAAGAAAGCTGTAGGCGAGAGGACTGTTTACAGAAACACATTGAATATCGGTGCCAGTGGTCAACCCTGGAGGCATATGTGTACGACTGCTGTAGTTCATGTCGACTACTTTCGGGCCTCTTGAACAAGAGATCTGATCGACAGCACTCGTCGGCCTGGTGTGTGACGTGACACAAGTCTGCCTCAGGCAGAGCAACACATGTAGGCCAATAAACTAATCGGACCCGAACCGATTCGTGCGACTAAAATAATCGAAAAGTGCATCCTGCTCGAAGAAACGTGATATTTATCTCGGCACCACAATTGAATATTGTCGACCGAGGGTTTCATTCTGAAAGGCGAGCTCGTGCCAGAAGAGAATGAATGTCGTCTTCATGGTTGTCACTTAGCCGGTCATCCTTCAACGGTAAAGCGGGAATGCCGTGAATTTCACCGCACCTCGAGGACTGCACCTGCTCCTCTGCGCTAGATCGAACTACAGTGGGTCACCTCGAGGCAGAACCATGTCACACCACGTCATCGACCGTGGTACAGTACAGCGTTCTCCACACAGTGAAGGCCCAGACGCTTACCGTTCCTCCAAAACATTCCAATTCCATTCCCCGAGCCGAAGTCCGACGCGAACCACGTCCTTCATGGACTATACGCGGTACTCTTCGCCGCATTCAAAGGCTCCGGGTCCTGCCCTCTTACTATGGGCTGCGAGGAAAGCGGAAGAAAAATGGAGTAACCACGTTGCGCGGCACATGCTGGCATGGACTGCAGTCATTGGGTCGAACCACGGCGTGTGCATTCATAACCGCGTCGGGTGGCGAGGCGCGCTGGCCAGCTGAAGAGGAGGTACCGGATATGACGTGAGACGAGACGAGACGAGACGAGAACATGGCCCCGGGCAGCGCTGCGTTAGACGGAGCAGGAGAAATAGAGAAGGACAAGGAAAGCTGGCGAAAGTGCGTGCAGAGTGAGGGACCGAGATAAGGACACGGCGACCGAGCGACCGAGAGAGCGGGACGAGGTGACGGGTCCGCGTCCGGGCAGCGGGCGGGCGGGCGCCTCGTTCGCCTGGTGCGATGTCGCCGTTCAGGACAGACTGGCGGCAAGTCACTCACCCTCTTTCCGTTCCCTCTCATCGAAAGAATCGAACGGACAATATTCGTGAGCACACGCTGCTGTTCCCGCCAGGCGTCGGATCGTCGACGCTCCTTGTCGCACCACCGTCGGAAAGGAAAGGAAAGGAACGGCAGAGGTCGTCGACCGGAGGGCGGAGAGCACCGCGAGGGACCGGAGTGAGACGGGAGCTGAGCAACTCAGCTCCCGTCCCTGTCCCTGTCCAACTCAGCCTGAGTTGGACAGGGAGAGGGAGGAGGCGGAAGGTCGGAGGTCCGGCGGAGAGGGACACGGAATCTTGCCGCGGGAGAGAGGCCAAGGGACGGTCAGTCACGGACGGCCCGGTCCGCTCCGCTCCGCTCCGCTCGTCCGCGTCTCCCGTCCCGTGGATCTGTCGGGCCCGCGGCTGAGGTGGAGGCGCGCGATTCGCAGCGGGCGATTCTTCCCTCGCCTCGTAGCTGCGGAACGGGCCCCGGTGGCATGGAATCAGCCCGGGCAGCCCGGGCAGCGGAGGCCTCCGGTTGCGGTAGTCGTAGGCGCTGGCCCGTCGTCGCGAACGTTGGGGCGGGGCGGGGCTGACAAAAAGGGAGCCGCGCGGCTGCCTGACACGATAAGCTGGAACGGGTGAGCGCAGCCCGACGACGCTGCCAGGCGCTGCCGATCGCTCGGATATCGCAGCGAGGGGTGGCCGGGCGGGCGCGGGGTAGGGCGGGGGCGGGTCACATTGCTGGTCGTCGGAGGGAGGTGCACAATCTGGGGGGCTGTCATCAATGCGACGGTGTTTCGAAGAGATCGCTGCGAGTGGCGCTGAGTTTCTTGCCGCTTTCTACCTGAGCTGATGCCTGCTGCTGCTGCCTAGAGCTGCTTGGTGCTGCTTGGGGCTGCTATAAGAGCGCGTCGACAGCGAGTGTCTCTCGCGGTCCTCATTCGTGGGGTGCTGTCGTTCCAGTTTAGAGCCCGCTGGACGTACAGCCGGTGCTGGAAATTGATTTTGTGAAAAGCGAGCCTACCTCTATCCATCATCGTCGCCCGTGGTGGCAGATCTTCCGGATTCCTCATGCGGTAGATGCCGACATTTGCTTTCTTTTAGCTGGGTCTGCTGCCCGATTTCATCCTCAGGTATGAGCTGTGCGTACGACCGCGCCGATGTCCCCGGTTCTGCGCCGCAGGGTCGCCGGGGCTGCCCCCCTTTGGCCATCCGAATGACTAGAGCGCTCGCAGCCGTCATTTCGCGACGCAATGTCTAGCCATTGCCCGTGATTGCACGTTTTTGCTCGCGCCCGAGCATTGGGCCCTCGTCTGCTGCTGCTGCGCACTCTTGCATCGTTTTGGAACTAATTCGAGGATTGTCTTCAATCTATTGTCTCAGCGGATCGTGGTCGCTTTGAAGGTCGACAGTTATGCCGCCACACGCCCCTGACTCCACAGGTCTTGGGCCCGAAGTTTTCCGCCTGCCTGATGACGCGATCCCGGCCCAGGATCGCAGATCTACACAGAAGAAATACTCGCTTTCAGACGTCAGCAAGCACAACACTCCGAATGATTGCTGGCTCGTAATTTGGGGGAAGGTGTACGATGTTACTTCGTGGTATGTCTCGCCTTCGAGCCGCAGCGCACCATAATTCATTGCCGGCAGTTTTTTCTTTTCCCAGAGCGACCGAGTTTACGTTGAACAGCGAGACATCGAAGATTTCCGTGGTCTTCTGGATCGATGGTTTGACGCCGAGTGCCAATTGTCTGCGATGCAGGGTTAAGGTCCATCCAGGTGGAAGTCTCATCTTTGTGAAGGCGGGACAGGATTCAACACAACTCTTTGATTCTTATCACCCCCTCTATGTCAGGTTAGACATGCCAATGAGGGCATCTCGTGTCTTTGCAATGCGCGGAAGTTGCTTGAGTTGTGGTGTTTCCTGTCGCAAGTTTTCCACTGGAGTAGTCGCGTGGAGGCCCATTCAAGGGGCCGTGTTCTGAAGGTATGTGTCATGGCTCACGACTTTACTCTGCCGCTGTCGCAGAAAGCTACTTGCACAGTTCTGCATTGGTGAACTCCAAACGAGTGCGGGAGATGAGAAGTTCAAGTCTTCAACGTTGGAGTATGCTGGTGAAGAACATGAAGTATTTTACCACACTCTCAAGCAGCGCGTGGAAACGTACTTCCGCAAGCAGAAGGTCTGGTTCTTTTACCGATGCATGAAGGCGGCTTTTTCGTCTGCGTTAAATGCGGAGTTTAGAAATATCAAGGGAATTTTCGTGCGTACTATGCATCGTACCCAGACCGTAGTAGTACTGTCGGTTTGTCTTACTCGCAATGGACGTGTCGCAGATAAATCCTCGATACCATCCGCAAATGCTTGTGAAGTCAGCCGTGATCATTGGAACCCTTCTTCTCTGTTACTATTTTGGCTTCTTCTGGTCTCAAAATGTACTCCTCTCGATGTTTCTGGCAAGCATCATGGGGTTCTGCACTGCGGAGGTGGGCATGTCCATCATGCACGATGGTAACCACGGTCAGTTTACGAACCTTTTACAGGAAATCTTCGCTTTGTTTGCGATTTCGTCGTCATTTCACAACGAGGGCAAGCTGGACTACAGCTCACAAGCTGTGTTCGAGTATGCTGCGTAATTATCCTTTATCCTCATCGCGTTATGTGCTGAAAATATGTACAATTGGTGATCATCCAATTTGTGTCCTTTGTGTTCAGGATCTTACACACAATCTACCTTGCTTGGTTACGTCATGGGCGCCACTCTTGATCTGGTGGGAGCTAGCAGGTTGGTGCATCTTCCTGCAATTTCCACGAACATGAAATCCAAAACTCGCTTCGATTTGTTCCTATGGGTCCATTTGATATGAAAATTTTCCCTTGTGGCGGTTGTTTTTCTACTCTCCTTGCCGAGGGAGGTCTGTAGGTCCTTCTCGGCTGAAACTTACGATTCCCCCATCTGTTCAGTTTCATGTGGAGGCAGCAGCATGTGGCCGGGCACCACTCGTTCACCAACATCGACCATTACGATCCAGACATTCGTAAGATATGACCTCGACCAATCGCTGTTCCATCATCATCGCGAGCCAGAATACAGTTTTGCCAGTGAAATTCACGCAAGTTTGTCTCGGGGATTGCTAAGATCTTTCCTGCTTGTACAGGTGTGAAGGATCCTGATTTACGACGGGTTACTTCTCAACAACCCCGAAGATGGTTTCACGAGTATCAGGTACTAGCAACTCCAAACACTGCATACACTGATGTCTCTTACATTTACATTCAACCTACTCTCGTTACGTTAGTAACGAGAGTAGTTTTTCCACATAGCCTTTTGATTTCCTCCGATATGAACATAATGAGGCTACAGTGTTTAAGTCGGCATGTTGTCCCTGTCAAGCTGTAGTTTTCCGTTTGATTTCAGTCTTCAGCCTACCTATTGGAGAAGCTCACACTGAATTGTGTTGTAATTGGTGCAGCATATCTACTTAGGAGTACTCTATGGCGTTCTTGCCTTAAAAAGTGTGTTGATTGATGATTTCAGCGCCTTCTTCAGTGGTGCTATCGGCCCGTGCGTTACATCTCTCTTCCTTGGAGCTCTTGATCAAGTTTCTGAGTTTTTTGAGTCTGTAGCTATTCCCTAGGTCTGTCCAGGCGAATGATTGCCAGACTTCTCATCAAGTTTGCTGCATGTCGAGAGACTCGCCTGACGGCTTAATGTTGTGGATTGCAGAGTAAAGATAGCTCAAATGACACCACTCGAGATGGGCGTCTTCTGGGGAGGGAAGGTTGTGTACGCACTGTACATGTTTTTGCTCCCTATGATGTATGGTCAATACAACATTCTTACTTTCATTGGTCTCTACATTCTCTCACAGGTGCGTCATGAAATTTTAGTCGTTATTATGTTAATTTACTCTGGCCTTCACTTAGTGTACGTCGGACACACAATGGGGCATCTGTCTACTTAATTTTCGCATCATCTCTACACATAGATGCTTTCATTGGAGTTGGGAGGGCGAAAAATTCGTGGTTCAACTTTTTCTGAGACTACCTTTTATGTCGACGCAGTTAGTTGCAGGGTGGACTCTTGCCCTCTTCTTTCAAGTAGCACACGTTGTCGACGATGCAGTATTTCCCGTTGCGGAAACAGATGGTGGAAAAGCAAAGATTCCTTCTGGTTGGGCAGAAATGCAGGTGCTGAACTATAATGATTGGCAGTACAACATTATCTCGAAAAAGCTCTGTTTCATTGGGATCTTATGATATCCATATAAGTTAGCCAGTTGACAGCTGGTGAAGCAATCAGTCAGGTCATTTACTTTATGATGCAAAGATTATGCATTTCGTGCTTCATGAAATGCCTTTGACCTTTTGGCGAATGTGCACCAAATTCCAGGTCAGAACCACTACCAATTTCAGCTCACGATCAATGTTCTGGACACATATTAGTGGCGGTCTGAACCATCAGGTAACTTGTCGCGGGTTGTTAAAGTAGCTGTATTGGAAGTTTCGTTGTTTTGCCTGGGTTCAGTCACCTAGACCCACAAAGCTAACGTGATTTGTCGTGCAGATCGAGCACCATCTTTTCCCGGGTGTCTGTCATGTTCACTACCCAAGCATACAGCCAATCGTGAAGGCTACCTGTGACGAGTTCAACGTGCCTTATACTTCCTACCCCACTGTAAGTAATGCCTCATGCAATTTTCAATACGTAAGTTCTCTGTGGCTCATGGCCTTGGTCGACACACGTTTTGCCCGTCATAGGGCCGTATTTGAAGTCGATTTTTGTCTGCACATATTTTTCTGACTGATCTGCTGTGTGGCAGTTCTGGGCGGCCCTTAGGGCACATTTTCAACATCTGAAAAACGTCGGACTACAAGATGGACTACGACTGGATGGCTGAACTGTGACAGCATGCTTTGGGCCTGCACTTTCAGATTTCGGATCGAAGGTATCTTCAAAGTCACATTTTGCCCATAATGAGAGTTTTCTGCATGGAGAACTACTTTTAGAGAGTTCTGTTATGTTTTCAGTTGTTGAGACCAACACTCTTAGCTCATAATTTTTTATCATTGGTACGACAGGTGCGGGCGATGGAAATAATCAGATAAGAGTTGTAAGTAACGTTCAGGAGGAGAGCAGAACGGATTGATGAGTGTCCATTTGTGAGGCTTCCACCTTTCAGGAACAGAAGTTGATTCGAATGCGAAACCTCCAATGAGCATTTCACAGCCGTCTTCTCCTTGGCCATCATGTGTTCCTCCTAGGGAGCTTCGGTTTTTGGAAGTTAGTCAGCTTACTTTCGAAGATCGTTCAACGCTCAAGGCTAGATTTTGTCGACACTATTTAGTTAGGTCCGATAGATAGGTGATAAGATTCCGGTGCCCTCACACATGTTTCATCAGTTGCGATGTAATTCCAGTAATCCACGTATGTGGCTCCAGTGTCTGCTGAAATCAGCACAGGCAGCTATATCATGCTCCTTGATCTCTTAAGCTTCGTCACTACATTGCATCTACACACGAAATGCAGCGTGTTTATCTGTATGCCGTGGATGTGTTGACAGTGTAGTGATATCTTGTTTTTGTTGGGAACAAAATTTGTAACATCAGCTGTATATTTCGAGTTTTTACTCTTGCTCAGAATTGCCCTCTTCTCCTTGAGCTTGCTCGATGTCGATATACATATTTAAAAAAAGACAGGCTAGGCGACGTACAAAACGAGGAAGTCATGTTATTGATATCCTCAATGTGGGCCCGAAGGAAGAAAAGGTCTGTTACAGAAGAGTTCGCGAATTATCTTCCAGTCTTGTTTCAAAAATTTGTACAATAGCATGGCTTAGAGTTGAATTGACCAGGTGAGAAAGAAAAAAAGCAACATGTCAAGGAAATCAAAAGTTTGAGAAAAGTCATAATCCGTGGGGTTTATACACACCACTGGCTGAGAACGATAAGGCGTGTCTCAAATATGCTGTCCTGACTGTTCCAAGCCAGGTTGAAATTCGATGTTTTTTTCGCATGATGCAGACGAATTTATGCGGAATCTTTTTGAATTGAAGGTAAGTGAACGTTACATCCGAAATTGTCCGTAATTAGACAATCCTTCAAAAGTCACTGGAAAGTAAACCACATTCACATTCCCCAGATAGGAAGAGTACGTTGGGTTCGGATGTGCTGTTGAGCTAACGCGTCCTTGTCACCACTCTGAAATGGAAACTACGTTAGGTAGAATGGCGTAAATACTACTTGGTGTGACACGCATTTTCACTCTAATACATTGAAGCCGTGTAGAGTAAACGACCAGCCAACAATAACGGTGGAGCATAGGCACTGCGATTGACTGGAAATGACAAGAAGTATCCATGTTCTGCCGAGTACTATCGAATGGGTTGCAGGCTTGAGTCGTACCAGCAGTAAAGTCTCGTCGAAACGAAGACATTCTTTATGGGAGAAACGTTTTCTTCGTCCACTGACTTGCCACATTTTCTCCCGCATCCACCTACTTGTCGTCCTCATCTTCCTACGCCGTGTACAACGCGCATTCAGCTTTGGGAGCAGGTTACACCCTTAATGCGTCCATCTTCCATCCTTATAAATGGTAATCTCTCAGTGGAGACTTTGGTTGGAATAGTAGATCGCCGAATGTACTTACGTTTTCCTTTCAAAAGGCCACCAATCAGTCCATGAAAAAATGCGGAGGCTTTATGTGCACCGGCCCCAGATCCTTGACATACATAGAAAGAGGGTGGAGACAAAGTGGTCAGAAAGATGCGAATGCAGCCCAAAAAGGAGAGAGGTGAAGAACTTGCAGGGCCACTGAAGCAATTGTTAACATCGATGAGGCAGACATTCTGTTAATTCCATGTGGCCTCCATTTCTTCCCAGAGCAGATGTGTAGTGAATGTTCCTACCGCAGCTCACCCCATGGGGCAAGAAGAAGACAAACTCCTGTGCTCTCGTGACAGGAAATAGGACGGACCCAAAGTACAACTCGCCACAGACACGATTGACACCATGAACAAGTGGGAGAGCTTCTTGAGAAGATCAAAACTTGATAAGTTATTCGCGACGATCCGGCTTCAAAGTGGAGATTCTCAGCCCAGTAAGTCGTTGGAACGAGAATAACACTTGCAGGTTGTTCTGTTTCAGCGCGAGAATTTCAATATTCTGACATTGGATGAGATGATTCTCCTTCAATCAATGACTAAACTGATCGCAGCAATTTTCGCGTCCGAACCATGTCAGTAAGGAAGTGACAGGAAACATCAACACGGCGACGGATCTTGCGGTTCGGGAGAAGAAGTCGAATCATTGATTGCAAGCTGCAGCTTGCAAAGGCCAGTTATATAAGAAGTCTGAATAAAAACAAACCTCTGTGATGCCCTCTACAGTTCTGAAACCGGTGCCAAGAATGCACAGACGAAAATCAATCAGTCTGCCTGGAGCAGACCAGTTAATTGATAACGAATGCATCCGGTTATAGAATTGGCTCGATTCATGCTGTGGGAATAGACACAACCGTGTGGATGGATCGGGAACCCATCGTGCAGGTGAGTTGTACGGCAGTCGAAGCAGCAAGTGGAATCGTGGGTACCGAACTCAATGACACGAGCGAGCAGTGGAGGAGATTCGCGAGGACATGAGGGCGAACTCGTACTCTCGATTGGTGCAGATTGTGGAGTCAGATTGTCGAGCGCGAATGCGAATTCCTCCGGTCAGAAAGTCTTCATACGACTAGGGAACCTTGGAGAATATTCCGTACGGGATCGCAGGGCAGCAAGAGCATCGTCTACGGGCAGTCGACGAGAAATTGCCCAGGGCACGATCCCAACATCCTCTTAATCCCTCTCCTTCTGACATTCTTTTAATAGTCAAATCTTCCCCTGACAATCTATTTTTGCTCGAAGATGCTGAATTGTAGTTATGGTCGAGTTGACAGGCGCAATGTTAGAAGCTTCTCGGAAATCTGGTCCTCCTTCACATGTCACACGTACATGTCAAAAGTCCAAACCTCAAATGTTTCGCCAAAACGTGATTTTTTTCGCTGATTAATCGAAAGCACAACTTTTACTTGCATATTTACTTCTATTTGTTCAAAACCTTGACAAGCTTGAGTCAGTATGAGTGATACACAGTTTACTGTTTTTCAAATTTCACTTGTGATTATAATTTTTTTAAAAATAATTTCAAGTTGATGTACTATCATTACATGTACATTCTACGTTTGTTTACCATTGTGATTCATTAAAATGTAAAAAATACTAATAGTGTTGTGATGTTTTACAAATTGAGAGAAATATCATAAATACCATTTGAAAATAAACCAGTTGTGTGTTATAATTGATTGGAATGATCACATTTAAAATTAACATTAGAAATCACAAAAGCTTTGAACTAGCCGTTGACACTAGTTAGGAAGGAGGAAAAGTATTAAAAGCTCCACAATTTAGATGGGATATTATTAATTTTTCTGAGTCTAGCCGGAAGTTAATTTTCTGAATTGGGAAGATCTATAGTGAGAAAGAAGCAAGATAAGGGTAGATTTTGAAACTCGTAGTGGTTATAGAATGGAAAAAAAATGTTTGGTTCCTCGAAATAAAAAGAAATTGATCCGATAATAATTGAGTACCATTACAAGAGGTTTGACTTCTGGGGCTCAAGATTTTTTGAAGTATATTTGACTAGTCTAGTAGAAACACTAAGAGAAAATGATGAAGTATTCTATGTTGTTGGGGCTAACTTTAGTGGTAGTGGAAGCAAGGATGTAGTGCACAAGACGCGGAGTTTGATGAGGCAGATAGAGAATATATGCTCCCGAGCTTTGTCTGCTGAAGATTTTGAAGTAGGAAGAATTGAAATACAAGCACGCAACTGACATTCATTTACAAGCAACTTACTCTTATATGATTGAGCGCCTTATGAATATGATACGAGAAGATGACAATTTTTGGGATCTAGTATTTTCAAAAAAATTTGTCGATAGCAAACATTTATACATGTGTCTCAGCTACTGCTAGATAATTCTAACTTGTTTATCTTGCTAAATGTATATGCATGTGCAATATACTCACATTTGTGTGGACAAATACTTGTTAGTATCAAGCAATGGATCATAGAGGACGTGACTGAGGCTTATGATGGGCGGAATGAGATTTTCGAAAGTACTTCGAAAACCTCCGTCAAAAAACTTTCAAAAGTGATGGATTGTGATATGTCAAAAACTAATGCAATAGTTCTTCTTGCAATCTCGTTACAAGTGGATAACGTGATTGAAGATTTCCTAACTATTGGCATGGTGGCCAAACTTATGCACTATTTGAGAATTCACACTCTTAGTTAAATCCATGTGGAAATCCAGCCAACTGTAGAAAACAGAGCAAGAATGCATATGAATTCATCGCATATAGAAAAAACTAGTGCTTTGAGAGAGTTGGATTTGAGAATGTTGTTACGTAACAATTGGTGATTGATAGTATTAGTGAGCGTGGAGCTGACCTAAAAAGAAAATGGAAAGATAAAGAAGCAATCGCAAAGAAGAAAGATGATAAGTCTATTGTTGAAGCTTTCAATCAAGCTACAGTTGACATAGAGGTAGGTGAAGATAAGAGACGGATCAAAGATAATGGAAACTTAAAACAAAGAGTTATGGTTAGGGAAGAGTGATTTGGACATATGGATGCATCAAATGAAGAAAAATAGTAGTACAAAGTCTTTGAAGTGAAGCATTAACATTTGTGATCAAGGAAAGGGAGAGATAAGGAAAGGAAGGATGATATAGATGTTGAAACACCACCAACATGTGGTGTTCGAGATGGAAAACTTTTCCGTCAAAATTTGTTGATGGAATGATGTAACAATAATCTTGAAAGTACTTCAAAGCCTAGAAGGGGGAAAAATTTGGAAAGAAGAAGTTTGAAAGAAAGTTTAAAGGAACTGATCTCATTAAAGAAAGCCGAGGAAGAGTATGATAAATCAACACCGTGTGTCATGATTGACAAGATGGATGTATGTGAAGAACGACACAGTACTCACTATGTGGAAGAGAAAGAACTTGATTATGGAAAACATATTTAACATTATAGAAACACATTGAATATATATGAGCAACTAGTCTATTAAAAGCTATTAGTGAGAAGCTCATCACAAAGCTACACCAACAGGATGATAGCTACCTAACTTTATTGACATCCATATGGATGATAGCAAGAGAGTATTCGTCCAACACTCCAATGTACTCTAGTGCTACCGGATGGATGTATCACATATCTTGGTAGGACTGCGAAACCTTAGTTGCTACTATATGCTTCGAACATAACATAAACGGATCAAACATCTTGAAAGGAGTGCAACAACTTAGTTGCTCCTTCTTGCTTCGAACGTCAACATGGATGCATCAGACATCTCGGTCGGAGTGTGAAAGCTTAGTCTCCTCCTCCCCGCTTCAAACTTACTCCTACTCAAGGCCTTTGTGAGCATATCAGCCGGTTGGTCTTTTGTTGATATGTATTCCACAGAGATATCATCGAACTTCATCTTTTGACGACAAAATGTCAATCAACTTCAAAGTGCTTGATCCTATCATGAAACCCAGAATTGTTGGCCAATTTAATGAC